CATGTGTGTATGGACTACTATTTATATTTTTCCAGTGTATATATGAAACATATATATGTGTATTGACAAATATCATGTACTCTCTCCAGTGTGTATGAGCAAATATTATGTACTTTCACTAGTTATTTAACCAATACTCTGTACGTTCATACACACTGGAGAAAGTACATAGTATTTGTTCATACAAAATGTGAGTAATAAACAATGGAGTACATGATATTTGTTCATACATACTGGAGAAAGTATATTCACAAGCGTGTTGGTTCATATACATGTCCATACTGGAGAAAGAGCATAATGTCTCTTCATACACATTATAGATATTGTAGTACATTAAATTCGTTCATACTCACTGGTTTAGGTACATTTTATTCGTTCTGACACATTGATTAATTTACAAAATATTGAAAACACAGAAGAGAATGAACAACGTTTTGGTTCATGCACAATGGAGAAAGTACAAATCATTTGCTAATGCATGTTGGAGAATGGACACAAAATATTTGTTCATACATGCAGGAGAAAATACAAAAAATGTGTTCATTGAAAGTGGAGAACCCAGATTATATACTTTCTCCAGTTTGTATGAACAAATTCATCAATGTGTTTCATGCAACACATTTTAATTTGTAATTTAAGGTGCTATGTAAGTTAACAGAAATGACAAAACAAAAAATGTCAAAACCATGCTGGATTTTGGAAATTTTTTGAATCAAGATAACAGAGTTCTGTTTGGACCTCCAGTCAGTTTAACTTGTTCAACATATTTATATGACCGGGAACACAAGAAAAATGGTCAGAATGACCATAAACATGATGAAATAACCTTTTCAGCCCTCTGAAAATGTGACTGAAAAATAGCTTAAAGTAGGTGCTCAGGAAAGGTCAATGAACAGAATCTCTTGATTTTTTCAGAAAATGTGTCTAATATATTGCTCTAAATGATACAATCTTTGACATTTTAAAAAATTGTCTGAAACAAGAATTGCTGTAGTTAAAAGGAAAATAGATCGATTTTAAATTCAGTTTTTTTTCATTTTTTTCTTTTTCTGAGAATGATATGAATTTTTTTTTAAATTGTATCATTTACAGTAATATATTGGGCACATTTTCTGAAAAAGTCAAAAGATTCTCTTCAATGACCTTTCCTGAGCACCTACTCTTAGCTATTTTTCAGTCACATTTTCAGAGGGCTGAAAAGGTTATTTCATCATGTTTATGGTCATTCTGACCATTTAATTGTGTTCCCAGTCATGTAAATGATATGTGGAACTAATTAAACTGACTGGAGGTCCAAACAGAACTCTGTTATCTTGATTCAAAAAATTTCCAAAATCCAGCATGGTTTTGACATTTTTTGTTTTGTCATTTCCTGTTTACTTCCATAGCACCTTGATTTGTATTTCCAAGTAAGATTTTTAGAATTGTGCCTGTTTGTGAAATTTAGTCAATAAACTAACCATAAATGTCTGCAATAATAGAAAAATCAATAAGTGATTTTTTGGGCATTTTGGTAAAGCCTTTGGTTTGTAACGGGAAGATTGTCTTTATCACTAGAACTGTTCTGCATGGGGTCTTTTGCACAATTGATAAATTACATACTATACTAATACATTATTATATAGATTTGCAATGTCTAGGTTTTATTTAAGTAACTGACTCCACTGAGTGTGTATTCAAATGTTGTGCTTATAAAATGTATCGACTCCTAGACTACCTTTTGAATGAAAATAAACTCTTCCAAAAGTGATAGGACCTTAGTGCACCCATGCCATGGTAAGGATCTTAAGTTGGCATGCCAAAATGTAAAATCTCTATTGATACAGACACTTTCAAAGGTCATAGCACTCGTAGTGCTGCAGTTTCTGCGGTTAGCAGATCTGACGTAAATGTGGACTTGATTTTGAAAACTGCCGGATGGAGCAGTAGTGATTGTTGTTTCAGGAGGTTTTATAATAAACCTTTGGACATTGATAATGAAAAAACGTTTGGTAAAGCGGTCTTAAGCCTATAAGAATACTTAAAGATGCATTATGCCATAGGTTTCTCCCCCAGACAATCAATGATGTCCTCTTGTTATTGCTCATATAATATCTAACATACCATGGATATGTCTTGAGAACAACTTTTGGGTATATTATTGCCGAAATATCGGAAATAATCAACAGAACAACTTAACTCCAGAATTAAACACAATCGATTCCTAGGCTAGCGAGGGGAATCCCCATTGAGTCACACAGCGCCCAAAAGCGCCTTGAATCAGACAGCCAGTCAGGTTTATGATAAACAAATTCAACGACCAATCAGATAACTGGAAGACTTTCCCGGTCTATTCAAACTTTAGATTGAATTAATTTCTTCAAAAATAATTAGATCGGCCAGCACAATCGCAAAATTAACACTGAAAGAAGGGGATTTGGGACTTCTTCTTTGTTAAGTAGATGGGTATACATGTGGTGAAACTCAATATGCAAAAAAGTCCAGAGGGGTCTTGATTGTGCTATCCTATGGCATAGAGCCTCTTTAAAATGTTTGAATTTGCATTGACAAAACAATGTCAAAATTGTATTAAGTAGTTTATTAATCACAATATGCTTTATTTGTTACAAAAGTTTCGTTTAATTTCCAATTTTCCAACGTATTGATAAACAGTTATCAGCAAAAAATAACTGCAAAATCATTCCAAACTTGACTAAAGTAACCTTTTGCTATCATGTATTTCTACAACAAAATTAATAGTCTTGCTTCAAGAAGACCCTGGACCCCCCTCCTTATGTTCATCAACAACAGGGTCAAATGTAATCAGTGCCTAGGCACAGGTGCTGCCCTCTGGATTACCGGATCTGGAAATAGGTTTTATTAATTTTATAATTTGGGTACTTTTACGATATCAACACACCAGACTTGTTGATGAAGTAGATAAAGAGAGGGGGTTCATGATCTTGAAGTAAGACTATGTAATTAATGACCATTTCAGAATCTAATGTCCTACAGTAATTACTTCAACATCACATCGTGTTAGAATATTTTATAATTCTATCATTAAATATCAACTTTCTATTCTTCTAGAAATACAATATATGAGAATTATAAAAAAACAACAATTTTTCAATAAACCTTCCAATCATGGATATAGCTACCTATAAGATATTGTAAATAACTAATAAAAACCAGAAACTTTAAAAAGTTTACAAATAAGGTTACCACCAATTAAGGTCATCACTTTTCAGTTGATATAAAGCCATAAAATAAAAGTTATATCTCACAATATTTAAGATATTGTTGCATTGTTATGTATATCTTAAAAAGTAGTATGTATACTGTATAATATCAACTCTCATCTCAATTTTACATTGAGGTAAAAACAACTGCCAATCTTAAGGAAGGTCAAGCAGAATGGACTTCATAAATTAAAATGTCCTTCCTGGTTACATTACACATAGACATAAACAGTGGAGACGATAACCCCATTTAACGTGAAGTATGGCAATTGCCATGTTGCACGACAATTGACGTGAAATTATGAAGCATAAGTGCGCATGTCAATAGATAATAACGGCAATTGCCGTCATGTCCGTCAAGTGACGTGCAATATTGTGCACGGCAATTGACGTGCAAACTATTATCTTTTAAAAGTTTCACATATATCGGCAGGACGACAGGCAGTTATAAACTGGGGAACTAGTGGGTAAATCATGATCTGCATCGTATGTAATAGTTATAATCATAAACATTTGCTATTGTCCGGGTTGCATTTTGAACTAACAACTATTATGATGTGCATACTTCAATGTTTACAAGAAATATTTATTCAATGGCAAACCGGAAGTAAACAAACGATGGAAAGAAAACTAATAAATTCTGATCTAATGAGGATAGGAATTTAAATTTTTTATAATTCATTTAAGGTAATCATTGGATCATTGCAAAGAAGGTTTAAAAACTAAATCCAGCCAGGAAAAAACGAAAAAATCAGCAACACGTCGAGGTCAGGAAAACACTTCCGGTCAAAAAGAAGAGGGAAAGTAGACCCCATTTTAGTGATTTCCAGTGGTCTTTTCTCGGAATTGGGGCTCACGTTGTGTTCAGAGATTAAAATACCATCGGGTCAGTACCAATTTTGTCGTAAAACCCGTCGGAAAGACGATATCTAGACAATTGAAGAAGTATTATTAATTCCAATATGGCGTTTTTCTAGGATTCGTGAGACGTAACTTTGATTAGATTTAGCGCAAAATTCCCACATAGGATCGCTAATTCCTACATACAAGTGCTAGATTAGATTAAATACTCGAAGAAAATGCAATAAAAAGCGTTCCATCGATCGATTTAGACTTTCCAAGAATGCAAGTTCGGTGGTGACTTCATTGGTTCGTAACATTGACAGAAAATTCACAAGATTGAACGGCATTTTCTCCACAATTTTGGAATGAAATACCTCCCTTGGATTTAATATATCATTAATGTTTACCTAAGTATACGTACTATAAAAGAAATATTACTTTGATCGTGTATATAGTAAACACTGGGTCTTCTAATTAACCTGGTGTTTCAAATCATGAATTACAATGGACATTCTGCTTATTGGCGTGATTCACGTCAATTGACGTGCAAAATGGCAATCTCCGTGTTACACGTTAAATAGGGTTATCGTCTCCACTGATAAAGGTTATTCCACTCATGCCACCTTAAACAATGCTCCAAAGAAAATTCCAATGACGAGAAAATCTAAAATTACAACAAGCCTGTTATTATCCAGTCTTAAGTTAAACTTGTAATAGGGTAAATAACTGTAAAACCCAGGAACTTTAAAATATCAGTTCATGAAGTATATGAATTACAGCATAGTGATTATTTAGGATAAAATATAAATACACAAAACAACATTATTAAGTCCACATAACAGCTGTATTGACCAAACATGACCATTGATTAAATGAACAAATAAGGGCATAACCAAATAAGGTCATCACCAAATAAGGTTATCACCAATTAAGGTCATCACTTTTCAGTTGATATAAAGTCATAAAATAAAAGTTATATCTCACAATATTTAAGATATTGTTGCATTGTTATGTATATCTTAAAAAGTAGTATGTATACTGTATAATATCAACTCTCATCTCAACAGCACCATTCACATCCTGATATACATCTTGTTGTGTGGCTTAAACACCAGGCAGGTTACAATAATATGTTTTTTTTCATGAAACTTATTACTATTTGACCATTTGCATCCTTTATTGTACACAGATGCATAACTATTTGACCATTTACATCCCTAATACAGTAGAGTACATAGTAGTAGAGTAGTAGTACATATTTTGTGGTTTGCAGGAAATTTAAGTCTCACGAAGGCACAACATTATTCTCTGAATGTGACATCCCAGTTCATACACTTCAGTAAATAATCAATCCATGTTGAATTTAAAGTATTATTATTGGTTTAGGTCTCGTAGTAGTGGTGATAATGATGGTGGTGATGGTGTTCGTGAATGTGGTGGTGCTCATGACACTGAACCACAACATTAGATGGCACCACTTTCTCTTCTGTGCCAATGACATGTTCCTTCTCAATCCACTCTGCTACTTGCTGCATGGCTAGATGGCGATCTTCCTGTTGCCTTTGATGACGCCTGTATGATGTCACTTCCTGTTCGGGAATATGACTACTTAAGGGGCGATGGTGGTTACTATGTTTAGGGGATGAGGTATTTAGATCGCATGGACGAGCACTTGTGGTGTCTCTATATAGCCTAAGGGACATATGATGATGCTGCTTTGTTTCCTGGCAAGGTGAGTCTGGGGTTCCCATAGCAACTGGCTGATGTCGATGACAATCATAAGAGCGAGAATGACTTTCAGGTTCATGTTCTACTGCACATTTAACTGAATACTTAAAGCGACCCCTGGAACTAGCACTGCATTTCCGGGTTCCTTCTTCATCATTTTGAATGTTGCAAAGTAACTTAGAAACCTCGTTGTGAAAAGCATCTTTGATGCTCTTTTGCGAGACTTGCTATGTCCATGATGTGATCTGTGCGTAGTGTGCTCTGTTGGTTGATAAGGAAGTTTTGAGTCATGTTCAATTCCTGCAATATCTAAATAATAACTGCGTCTGTCTAAGTTCTCTTGGTGATTAACCAAGCGTCTATTGATAGCTGATGTTTGATTGGCTGTTGAATTGTTAGAGACACTATGATTTGTTGATTGGGGGAGCTATGGCAATGATGTCTTCTGTGGTGTCTTGATTTGTCACCTTCAGTTTGATGTCTTCTGAAAATGAAAGAACTGGAATTTTAAACTGAGGAGCACACCTATTGTCACAAATGTTAAGAGTCTCATCTAATTTCCACTTACTCAAGTTTAAAAATTGGCATTAAGGATAAATTTAAAATTATCATACTACATGTTTTAGTATAAAGTGCAGGGTTCTCACGAGGAAATTTTTAGACCCCGGACAATTTCTGGAGAGATCGGTAATTCATCCAGAAATTGTCCGGATTTTTCTCCCGGACAACCAGTAATGTCCTCATATAACTGCTCATATAACATGTATAACATCATATATACCTTAGATATATGGTGAGACCAAATCATGAGCACAGTTTTACCAATATATTGAGAAAATCAACAGGACAACCAAAGAACAACCAAATGACTAGAACACAATAAGTCTAAAACAACATACAATTTTTTAGATTAATCTATATTGTATAACCCTATTAAGTAATCAAAATAACATTCCCAAAGAATAAAAAAATGTTTTTATAAAAAGAGAAAAATAGATTGCCCACGTCAGGAATCGAACCCCAACCTTAGGACAAAATAATAAATGAGAAGAGTCCGACACGCTACCTACTGCGCCATATGATAACAGCATGTATGTTTGGTCAAATTTTATAACCATATGAATAATTGAAAAAAAGTAATATATGTGCGCTTCTTTTATTTCAAAATGATCAATATATATGACTGATATTGTTGAAATGTATGTTTTTTGGAAGTTTTTTTCATCTGAATTAATAAATAACAATGTTTTATTGAGCATCGAACTTCCCTTCGTCAGTCTTGGCAAATACAATATGTTGCTGGATTATTGAGCCCAGGAAGCCAATCACAGATCGGAGCACATTGAAGCGGGTTATTTTAATTTAATTTCGATTTTCGATTGATGCAGGAGGAAATTATGGCTGTGAACAATCGTCAAATTGATGCAGATAACGAATGAGTTGAAGCCTCAATGTTGGTAAGTAGATAGACAAACTTCTTTTACATATCATGACATGAAAACATCAGAGGGCTAACTCTAATTGTGTTTTTGGACGACCTGATCTTTTTAAGCACATGTTAATATTCATGGATAATTTTAGTGATTTACTTACCTCTTTGGAATCAAACATTTCATATTTTGGAAGACTCTCCCAGTATTCTTGGTATGGCACCAGTTCTTTCTTATCACCCACTTTATATACAGCATTAGTCGCAACCATGTACATCTCATACAGTTCATCTTCCTCTGCAGGGCCCATATCTAGAACAGCATAATCAGTATAAATATACATGTACAGTGGTAACATACATTGACTACAGCATCGAAGCATGCATATAAGAAGTGGAAAAATTCCCTTGCATCGAGTTAGAAACCTATTTGCTATCATTGAAAATTAAAAAAATCAACTCACAGCCATGTTGAAACAAAATTGGGCCAAGTTGAAAATATGAACATTACATTATAACACCCACCTGAAAACATCTATGCGATACATACCAAGTTGACAAATTGAATGAATGTAAAAATCATAAATCTGATACCGTATCAAGATACAACTGATATTCACCTTCAAATGGCTTCTGTCCCCCTAAGAGCTCCCAAAACACCTTGCCCTGGCCTAGATGTTGCCTTTTCTCAGGTATAACTGCAGCCTCCTTCAGGCACTTGCAACCCATCTCTTTCTTCTTTGGGATCATATCTGCAAGCTCATTGGCCTAAAAGGAAACAAGACCACATGTAACATGGGATATTTGTACCTCCTTTGAATAGACTGTCAGAAAAAACTATGCCTGGTGCTTTTCGTTAAAATGTTCAAGGTTTTAAGGTAATTCATTCATTTATTATTATTGCTTTCCAATTATCTACCTTAGCTTTTTCTATGACATTGGCATATTCACCAAGCCAGCAGAAGATTCTGTCAGAGGTCACCAGGATGAAACAGTCCCCACTGTTGATAAAGCTAGCTGTGGGAGCCACCAGGCGAGTATGCACATGTCTTTCCCCTTAAAAGAAATACATAGACTATAGACATACATATATACATACAGACTATATCCCTATATGTATATGAAATCAACTTTTTACCAAGCAGAACAAATACCTTCTAAATAAACATGGAAATACTTCAGTTAATAGAAGACTCTATTGAAAAATAAAAATAAATAATTGTATTTTTTTCCAGGAATTATTGTTTATGGGTATCTTATTCAGCTATCATGTATGCGAGAGCACTGACTTCTATATTCACTTACCTTTAATCTGCATTAACATGAGATCTTTGTATGGCTGCATCTTCCTAGTGGTATTCCCAGAGTCTGAACGTCTTAGGCTGACTTTAGCAAAGTCTTCTGTTCTTGCTAGTCCAGCTAAGGCAGCTTCTGCCAGACCAGCTTTCACTGAGACTGAAAACAGATGCAGATATTTGAAGGTATTTTTAAAATAGAAAAATACATGGTTCATGATCACTGGAGATTCGTGTATTTCATGAATAAAACAATGGCAAAGACACATTTTGGAAAGTCACCTTTCTGAACAGTAATAAAACAAAAACTTCTTTTTCAATATGGATTGTGATTTTCTGATCTTAGTATCAGAAAAGAAACAGCAAATCCACTTATGACATTAGAAATGTATGATACTGTATGTTGTCAAGTAAATCGTTTGTTCTTACTTTTTTCCTTGTTGACTAGTTTGAATTCCTTCTCTGCAATGTCTGTCTTGACCTCTGTGTAAGTTGGCTGTAAGTTCTGATGTGTGGACAGAGCCTTGAGGGGGTTCCTTGACTCAGCTGCCTTGCGTTTCTGAGGCCTAATCTTTCTTGTAAACAATAACCTGCAAGTTTAAAATTGCTTTAATAATCTTATCCCACTTGTCCCAAAGGACTTTAAGATTCATGGTTCCTACCATTGTATTGGTACAGTCATGTCAATGTTTATGTGATAAAGCTTGCATTGATACTGAACATTGATATTGAACCCTCTTTGCGACTCTGAAAGAACAACTATCTACAAGGAACATTCCTTCCAGTGTGAAGGGTGTTCCATATACAAAAGTTTTACTGTATGTTATTGAGGCAATATTTCCATATTACTCATACCTTCAAAGATACCTGATATTATTAACTATCTAAAAGTGTTGATTTTGAAACCATCCATTCTATAAGGAAAATATCAAATATACTAGAGAGATTTCACAAATGCGTGAAAGTACAACTTATAATGTATACTTATAAGTAAACGTAAAAGGTGTTTTAAAAGGGCTTTTCATAAGGAAAGATCTTCTCGGACTGTAGTAAATAAAGGTCAAAGGGATGCCATTTTTACTTTCTTGAATTGTAGCATGTTTAGATGATCCAAATGTGTTTGTCAGAATAAAATAGGCTCATATATAGTACATATGTTATAGACCCATCTCTTCTCAAATTGACTTTTTGGAGATGCTCGTTATGAAACACCCTATATGTCATTTGTTGACCTACTAAATGGGTCCTTTCCAGGAATTGCTAGAACCTACTGATTTGATTGGTATTTCAAATTGATAGTTAAAGTATTTGATTGGATACTGTTCCTACTCAGCCAATTAATTTTAAATAAAAAATGCTTGCGGTCAATTGTTTCACACACATGTAGGTAAAGCTTTATACAGAGATCTAACTGTATGCGTATTTGATACGTAAACATACCGTTTTGTAAGTTCATTGAACTTATACTGATCATGAAAACTTTGAAATAATCAACATTTTTATGTAATGACTCACTTTAAAGGATCATGATTCACTTTAAAGGATCGTGTTTTTAATACACTTCGTGCAGATGACAGTGCATTCACAGTCTCTAGTTGATGGAGCTTTTCTATATCGGGAATAGTTATGTTCCATTCAGTACAATTTAAAATTGATTTCAGAAAATATAATAGTTCAACATGACCCTTTAAACTATACGTATACATATAAGTTGTTCTTTCACTTATGTGTGATATCTCTACTATCAACCGAGATGACACTTTTAACATTTCCTTTTTTTATAAGTACAGTGCGTATCAAAAAAAAACGCAACAGATTGTTACCTCGGAAAAGCACAAAACCAGTGATAACAGCATTGATTCATTCAATGCACCATAAAGCCACTCATCTCCTCTTTACAATGATATATCATTCATTGATATTTAGTCATGGTTGGGCGAATAATCATTCCATTTGCAAAGTGGGCCAAAATTAGCTTGGGACCAAGTTATAAACATCGCAAAAGTCAGTGTGCGGAGCCCAATGCAATATTGGAAGAAAACATAAAACCAATGCTGACTGCATCCTTTTCATTCAATATACCAAAAAGCCAATTTACTCCTCTTTTCAAAGGAATATCATTCATTCACAGGGAGTCATGGCTGGCCAAATAATCATTAATTTTGTGGGGCAAAATTCAGCTTGGATCCAAGTTTTAACCACTGCAAAAGTCAGTACAAGGGAGATTGGGGCTATTGGAAGAAGGTGTAACAGGTGTGCCATAGACAGTAAAGTGTTCATCATCATACTCTCGCAAGAATACATTGCCTCCAAATTGCCACCATTTCCTTGCACATAAAGATGCGCTCATCTGTCCAGGTCATGCATGGTTCAGCCCCGAGTCATCTGTGGGTAAAAGCAGAGAAAAGCAGCCCATGGGCAATTCTTTCTCAAGGTTTTGCAATATCTGGTGGAGGAATTGTGAGCACAGATGCTACTGAGACAGCTCCAAAAGAAAAAGTCACAACAATTCAAGTCAGGGGAACTTCCATTGGCACTTAGACCTTGCACTAGGGGTCACACGGTTTGAGATTTCACGGTTCGGTTCGGTTATTGTATTTCACAGTTCGGTTCGGTTCTGATTGCGGTTCTCACGGGCCTCGTGAAATGAGCAAAAATATATGAAATTGATCCGAAAATCAGAAAACATACTAAGTGTGTCACAGTGTTTTATTGTATTCAGTATTGTAAGTATCCAGTTTCACACAATGTTTGTTTGTTTGTTCAGTCTTTTTTCCCTCCCTCCCTCCCAAAATATCTGTGTGTTCACTGTGTTGATCTTCTTGTTTGATGTTCAAGTTTTTTCAACACATAAAATAACTTGTCAACTGTTGGCAAAATTAGCACAGTACTTCACTAAACTGAATAAATGTTTTCTTTAGAAATATAACTTAAGTTCAACACTTTGTCAGGACTCAACATGGATCAAAGGCGAACGTAATACACAGAACGTGACTCGTTCGCAAATTCAATGCATTCGGCGTTCGGCTTTTTACAGTATACTGTTCTATCAACCAATAGGATTGCGCGAAATGTTTAGGGTGTCACTACGGTAAATCATTGAAAAATATTGAAAAAAAATCACAAAATTCAAGTTCTGAGGTACATATCGCTATTTTCGAACGAACTAGCCCATACAATGACTATATTTCTGCGTTCCCCTATACATAACCTTCATCTTGACACTATATTTAACATAGGGTTTGCGTCTCGATTTTTAAATATCACTACGCCAACATAGGGACTCATTTTTAGGTAAAATCCCTGCTTCACCGATGAAAATTAACGAATAAAGTAGTTCCAGTTTACGGGACTATATTCTTGCGATTTTTTTCTTAAAATGGCACATTTAGAAAGCACTTGGCCTCAGCTTTACATACATACCTCAAATGGCCACATTGCATACACTTAAACCTACTACACACACCATTGAAGTTGGCATGGCTTCGTTTTTAAAGTATTAAAAAACACTGTCCTACCCGGAAGTGCTATTTACAGGAGTGACACCTTAGCGTAGGTCACTTCCGGGTCAATATGCCGGTGAAATTTATCAACATTTTCCTTTTGTTTTTGTTATCTGCCGTCTATATCAGAAGATCGTCGTAAATATCAGGTATGGTGCGCATTATTGCATGATGATTAACGATTCCAGACGATGTTTAGTTAATTGGTATTACACGAAAGCTTGAAATGGAGTTTAATTCCGAGTTTACATTTTTATTTTTCTGAAGTGAAACTGAAAATGTCACGGTTCTTCAAGAACCGCGGTTTTCAAGATTGTGTGCGAGCTAACCGTCGTGGAGGTATGAACCGCGGTAACCGCAAGCCACGGTTAACCGTGTGACCCCTACCTTGCACTGATTTTTGCAATATCGAAAACTTAGTCCAGAGCCAATTTTGACCCACAGTGCAAATAGAAAGATTTTTCACCCAACCATTACCACATTTGAATGAATGAAATATCATTGCAAAGAGGAGAGAAGTGGCTTTATGGTACAGTGAATAAAATTGATATAGTCATCACCAGTTTTGTGATTTTACGAGATAACTACTTATTGCGTTTTTTTAAATACGCCCTGTATTATGTCTCTCCTTGTTTTATATGTGATCCAGCCAATCAACTTACATTTTATTGAATTCAATTAATAAATGATCAAAGTCATGAACAGTAACGTCCAACTTTTCATCATTGCCCAAGTTACTCTTAAAGAAGGCTGTAAACTCCTCATTGTTCACTGATGGCACTTGGACTTCCTTCTTTTCTGTGACTTCAGTCTTTGGTGCTTCTGGTTTCTTCTTGTCCTCGTCACTGTTGGACTTAACTAGGGCTGAAACCATGAATGACACATCAGTTGGCATTTCTGATTTTATTGACTTGTAACCTTTGGGTGTTGAAGGAACCAAGTACAGTGTATTTCACTTCATAGACCATTTGAAAATATTTACAAATAACCCCAAAATTAAAATCCTACTATGTGACCTTCATCCCCTCTTAGAATGCTCCATACTTGAGAAGGACATGGCTAATTTTGATGCTTAAGATACACTGGGGTCCATTTTTGGAATTGTTGTAAATTACGATTTTGTCGCAAGTTATTGTTCGTAAAAAGGTGAAATTGTAAGATACAATAGTGCCAAAAATGAACCCCTATAATATATTTTCAATTCATATAAATATAAAGTGCATTGTACCAGGATGTTCAAATAGTCCTGAGAAAAAACTCTTGTCTAGTAATAATATTATGTAATCCAAGCCAACATTTTTAACTTTTTCTGAGTAAAGTAGAAAATGCTCTATAACCTAAAGGAAGAGAAGATAAAAGTGTGTTAACAGTCAATTGTACAACTTTTCAATATTTTTCCTTTCACATGTCATAGCTATTTTCTAAAAGGTTCAGCAGTTCTGTCTTTAATTCAGGATAATCCCTAATTTCAATTGACATATTTCTCATCTAAGAAATTCTATTTCTGTATATTTACCATTTAGGTCTCCTAGACTGATACTTTTGGGGAGGGGTTTATTTTTGAATGCTAGGCTCTCATCACCGGATTCAGTTCCACTCTTGGTTACCTTGTATAAAGATCCCCTGGGTCAGATTTTAGACTTGGGGGGGTAGCCATACTAGGGTGTCAGGAACGGCCTGTTTACCTGCAAAGAAGATAACATTCAAGGAACACATGGATCAATGTGACTTTAACATTTTAGAAATATGGTTTAGTTTAATCCTAAATAAGCCACACGGTGAACAGAATCACACCCTTGAACAGAATAAACTTTTCGGGATGGAAAATTCAAAATGGCCACCTTAACATTTACCCAGACAGCCTAAAAACTAATCAGTTCTAAACTTTCAATAGATACATCTCTAAAATTTTAGGATGAATCCATGAAACCCGTTTTAAGGTATTACTTCACAGTGTATCAGCTTTTTTTCTACAATTCAGATTTTCCTGAAAAAATCCTGGTAAAAGATATACTGATGTATTACAAAATGTGTGAAAATTGGAAAGATTGACTGTTTAGTTATTTCTTAAAAAAATGTTTTAATTTAACATTGCTCTCAATGGGAAATTCTTTTTTATTTTTTAAAACAAGCCTTCACAGACACGATTTTAGGACGAAAAATCCAAAATGGTCGCCTTAACATTTACCAAGAATGCCAAAAAAACTAATCAGTTCTAAACTTTTATAGGTAGAAACATCCCTGAGAATTTCAAATGAATCCCTCAAATGATTTAGCTGGAAACCTGTAGACAAGCCTTGACAGGCGCAAGATCTTAGGACGGAAAATCCAAAATGGCCGTCTTAACATTTATCCAAAATGTCGAAAAACAAATCAGTTCTAAACTTTCATAGGTAGAAACATCCCTGAGAATTTCAAATGAATCCCTCAAACGGTTTGACTGGAAACCTGTAGAGAAGAATATTCGGGACACCCGCCCAACTGCCCGCCTGCCCGGCAAACTGATTACAATATACCACCTTAGGGTGCGATAAAAACTGTAAAATTTAACCTTTTATCTTTGTAGAATAGCATACAGTAGCTCTTTTTTCTGGAATGATTTTATATAAACATGTTAAAAAGAAAGTATGTAAATGAGATTTTTAATGTAAACAAGTTTGATGGTCATAAATAATAACTTTGTCCATATCATTTAAATACAATTAAATACAACTAGATAATGGCAACTCCGCGGAGTAGCAAATCCCAACAAACAAAATATCAATTACCGAATTCCAATCAATTATACTCATTACTTTGGTTAAAATTGAAAAATTTAGATTTTAAAATTGCGTATTCCTGCAAAGCAGCCATTTTGAATTTTCTGAGGTACAAATCTGAAAAATAATACAGTGTATTGTGATCTACTCCAAAATTCCTTCAATTTGAGTATTATATAGCCATTATAACATTGAAGGGATCGAAAAATTATTGCGAAATCGTACATTAGACGACCATTTTGAATTTCACGAGCTCGAATCAGAAAAAAGATACAATATTTGCAATCTACTCTTAATTGCCTTTCATTTGAGTATAATAAAGCTATACTTCAGAGAGATCTAAAAATTAGCGAAGATTTCTGTTTTCCTGACCCCCATACACGGCCCCTGGGTGTCAGGATGAAAAACACGGAATATATGTGAAATAGATAGATGTTGCGAATATACTACCAAAATTTCAAATAATAATATTAACTAGATAATGGCAACTCCGCGGAGTAGCAAATCCCAACGAACAAAATATCAATTACCGAATTCCAATCAATTATACTAATTACTTTGGGTAAAATTGAAAAATTTAGATTTTAGAATTGCGAATTCCTGCAAAGCAGCCATTTTGAATTTTCTGAGGTACAAATCTGAAAAATAATACAGTGTATTGTGATCTACTCCAAAATTCCTTCAATTTGAATATTATATAGCCATACGTTGAAGGGATCGAAAAATTATTGCGAAATCGCACATTAGACAGCCATTTTGAATTTTACGAGGCTCGAATCAGAAAAAAGATACAATATTTGCAATCTACTCTAAATTGCCTTTCATTTGAGTATAATAAAGCTATACTTCAGAAAGATCTAAAAATTAGCGAAAATTTCGGTTTTCCTGACCCCCCATACACGGCCCTTGGGGTCAGGATCAAAAACACGGAAAATATGTGAAATAGATGGATGTTGCGAAAATACTACCAAAATTTCAAACAATAATATTAATTACTTTGGTTTAGAATGAAAAATTTATGATTTTTGCGAAAAAGTCCCGTCATTTTTAAAGCGGCGGCCATCTTGAAAAAATCCATTTTGAATTTTCTGAGGTACAAATCTGAAAAACAATACCATAATTGTGATCTACTCCAAAATTCCTTCAATTTGAGTATTATATAGCCATACTTTGAAGGGATCGAAAAATTATTGCGAAATCGTACATTAAACGGCCATTTTGAATTTTACGAGGCTCGAAGCAGAAAAAAGATATGATATTTGCAATCTACTCCTAAATGCCTTTCATTTGAGTATAATAAAGCTATACTTCAGAAAGATCTAAAAATTAGCGAAAATTTCTGTTTTTTGACCCCCCATACACGGCCCCTGGGGGTCAGGATGAAAAACGCGGATTATATGTGAAATTGATAGATGTTGCGAATATACTACCAAAATTTCAAACAATAATATTAATTACTTTTGTTTAGAATGAAAAATTTATGATTTTTGCGAAAAAGTCCCGTCATTTTTTAAGCGGTGGCCATCTTGAAAAAAATCTTGCGTAAAACTATTCATCAATATACATCTTTCCACCAAATATGAAGAAAATCCGTCAACCAATATTTGAGTTATCTTCCGGACGGACAGACGGACGGACTGACGGACGGAGGACTTCACTATATCCCTACCGAACTTCGTTCGTTGAGATAATAATGAGTCATCAGTTTCTTTTTCATAGTCAAGAATTTGAACATGCTGTTTGAAATCTAATATTTACAATCCACAAATTGAAATTATGACTTGTTCGGTATCATAGAAACAACCTAAAGGACTCGAATTTCAAATAGCTAATCATAACATATAGATCTGAAATTCTTGACATTAAATGATATCAAATGAATTGAATTCAATTATATGCATTTAAATTAATGTCCCATTGATCATGAGTGTTGGAGACAAATACTACAGTACATATCATCTATCAAAAAAATATCTGCATTTTTATCTGAAGTATTTTCAAGTTGGTGTTACTAACATTTTGACACTTCAAAATATCTTGAGTCACATAAAAATCATTATGAAAATGAAACAAGTATACAGATAATGTTGAAGTAGATATCATATACATATTATATTCATGAAATGTTACAGATAAAAAATGATTACCATGAAATAACCCCATATTGATTGTTAATCTTTAATGTAGATTTCTAGAACTATTTCCTCCATGATTCCAACATAGTGTAGGAGTATAGGATAGGAGTGCATCATAACAATTATGAAGTACAGCGTAACCTGTATATTGAGAACAAGTTTGGTTCTGTCATTATATGCATGGGCTCTAGCTCTATAGTCTATACTGTGCAGAATATAAACAATCAAATTCAAAGCACAAAGATAAGTCTCACTCCAATTATGTTTCCTTTCAGTGCTCTCCATTTTCTCTCTAGTGATAAGCACTAATAAAAAGATTATTGGCCATATTTTGTTAAAAATTATTAGTGATATTTTGTTAAAAAAGTCTTATTAGAATCTCTTGATAGATTAACATTTTAAATTTAAATCTAGGAGCCGCATTGCACACCCATTAGGGTAAATACAGTATATAGAATTTACAACCTCAACTTAAACATACCTGTTTTTGCTAATTTTCCGGCTACAGTAAACTCCTCACTATCTTTCTCTTCAACTCGTTGTTTCCAAGTCTCAGAGGACTCCTTAAGGTGATTCAGTCTATCATGTATACTGGTTGGTCTATCTCCTTTTAGCCATGGCTTGTTGCGGAATTTGATTTCAACCTCTGGACTTGGAGATTTCCCCTGGCGTAGTAATCTCTTTTGCCACTCAGTCTCTCCACTCTTGTGCAAGTTGGAAAGTCTATAATTAAATGTTTTCATACAGTTTTTGGGTGTTTGGAAGGGATTGTTACTATGTTTTGAATTTGTTTAAATAAGGATGGGAGGGGGTCTTTCGGAGGTCATTTAGATTTCTCGTACAATATTTTTTGAGTCATTATGTTTTTATTCGAGGGGGGGGGGGCTTACACCTGAACATGATAGACAAATCATTGAGTCAAGTAGTTATGATTTTGTGTACCTTATTTCATTTAACATGGCTTTTTCCAATGCAGAACACCTGAAATTATTTGTAAAGTTAAAAAATGGGCCAAAAGTGAATTTCGCGAGACGAAAATGGCGACCATTTAAAAAAAAAAATAGGCGAGCTTTTGAACCAGGAGTCATAAGGGAGTTTTCTGTATTGATGTTGAACAAATATAACTTAAAACGGTAATCCTATCAACACAGGTTTTAAAGCAAATGGCAGCGCTTGCATTAGGTTAGAAAATTTGTGAGTCCCAAGGACGCAATTTTTTTAAAAAAGTGTGTCCTTTGGAAAAAAAGTGTGTCCCTTATTTTTCAGTTTTAATTGATTTCTTGCCGCGAATTTCAAAACGGAAGTAAATGTTAAGTACGGACTGAATAAATGCATGTTCGTTCATTCGACAATGAATACATTTTATTTCATGAATAACCTAATATTTGTTTCTGAATAGGAAAAACTGTTGCATGTCATGGTTTCAAATCTACAAAATAGAAGGATATATATACTAGGGTGTCCTGATGTGAAATCATAAAATCAGTATTTTCCTGCCACTTAAATGCAAACTGTATATGAGCAATTGATCTATTTGACTTGTTAATTTCTTTATGTGTTTTTCAATGTTGCCCCTTGTTACTCCTCACTCTGATGTAAATAATAACTCAATATTCCTTTCTGACACATTATTAATTTCAATGAAATATAAAGATCAACATTCAATAGTTTGATATGCATTTTTGACTTGTAATATTTTTGTTTTCAAATGTTGCCCTTTGTGCTTCCTCACTATGATGTGAGATAATGCCAAGAGGATCAATTGTATTATAGTGTTTGTTTTATCTATTGAAAGTTGGCAGGACAGTGATAAAGGTTTTTTGCTACTGACCCATTAGTCTCAAAGCAATGATGTTTTGGTTTTGAAAGTAGGTCAATAAAAATGGTGACCGGATTATTGTAAGATAATTATCTCAGTGTTTCTGTAAAACACTGCTGATTATCTGCCTATTATACTTAGATTTTGCCTTCACAAGGTAGGCCAATTTATATTCTTTCATTTGATATGTCAAACTTAATTGATTTATCTCATGTGTCAGCAAAATCTCTCATCATTTGGACCGGCAATTTTTTTCTCAATTTTTGAACCGGGGTAACTGGGGTTTGAAGCGGCGAAAACGCCGGCTGCTGGCTGTTAATGAAACCCCAGTTGACCTAAAAAAAAATTTGCGTTCAAAAAACGGAAATATTTTCAATTTTTGCGTCCTCCAAATTATTTTTGAGTCCTTAACATGTACGGGACGCCGTTAATTCAAGCCCTGAAATGGTCCATAAGTGAATTTTGCGTGACAAAAATGGTGGCCATTTTGATAATAGGCGAGCTTTTGAACCAGGAGTCATAGGGGGGTTTCTATATTGATGTTAAACAAAAATAATTTAAAACAAGAATCCTGTTGACAGAGGTTTTAAAACTGGCCAACTGTTGACAGACAGACAGACAGACAGACGGACAAGTGAGTGATTGCAATAGCTCACCATGTGAGCTAAAAATAGGCAGCAGCTGAATATACTGTATTATTATGCACCTCATTAAAATACTCAAATCTGATTGGTTAAGAGCTGCAGGATCTATTGCCATACATGGCAGCAAGATCTCATTCTATCCAATATTGAAGCAACGAGATCTCTTACCATCCTGTATGCCAGAATACCTATCCTCGAAAAAAAATTAAGATTTTAGACATCTTAAAAGTCACTCGACTTTTTGTGATTTTGAATCACAGAAAGCATTCTGAAGTTTCAAATTGGCGCCACATTTAATTTTTTGCATCCGCCTAATGTATACCACTTACCTTTTATTGATTCTTTCCTAAGTTTCGTCATAAACTCAGTTTGACCAGAAGTATCTTTGTTGCCGCTCGATTTTTAAAAGAAAATGTCCCTTTTCTAATCACCCGGATGTGCAGTTTACTTGGACTTGCCCAAAACGAGGGGTGTCAAACGCAAGATGGTAGAGATGCAAACATGTCACCACTCTCAGAGAATCTATTCTAATTTCAACATTACTACGCGGTTTTACAAGCGAAAAGAATAAGGGCAGGTTGTATATAGGACTGGACAAGATGAAAATAAATAAATATTCTCAATAGATGACACCCCTTTAGAAATAAGATGAACTGAACCTATCATGTCACCGATTTCTTAGAAGAAATTACATCACAAAAACAAAAGCTCCGTAGAGAATTTTCACTTGAAATGTTGAAAAGCAAGCCCAGTTTTCTATGGGAAATAGAGGTTCTTATATGAGTACCTGTGCAAGATCGTCCATTCTTGATGAGCTTTGATAAGTCTTCTTTATCGAGTCGAAGACGAGATAAAGAAACATTATCAAAGCGAGTCAAGAATGGACGATATTGCACAGGTACGAGTACAAGAAAGTTTTTCTCATATGACTCTGTATTATGCCATATTTTCAACATTTTATCATAAAACTGAGTGAAAAATAGCTTCAAATTAATTGAACTTCATCTTTCAATTGTTATGACGTCATAACAATATTGAAGAAAATACATAGATACACGTGGCAACAAAGCTACATTGTTATGACTTCACAACTTAGTTTTGTAGAATTAGCATGGATACGCATAGCAACGGTCTGTCCGTTGCCATGTTTTTGATGTTTATAGACCAGTGATGTCACAAGTAAATCTCATCTTGCACGTGTGACTTTTTAGGATGAAAGATGGCAATATCTTGCATGGGGTAAAGATGGCTGTATCTTTGTTAGTCATATGAGAATATACGGTAATTAATAGTTGTGTGTACAATATTACCAAGTTTGAAGGTGCATAAGTTAGGCGGTGGATCATTTTGTAAATGCGACAATGTGAATTCATGTGACTGTTACTTTTTGGAAGGTTTTTTGCAAAAAAGTCAAGTGACGTTTTAGATGTCGAAATCTTAGGCTCGGCTTCTGTTTTAGTAGACCAATTCTTTAAAGTAATGTATTTCTCAAGGGAGGTGCATAATAAAATAATAAATACTGAATGACCATGAGGTGGATATGCCAGAATACCTATCCTTGAAAAAAAAAATACTAGGCTCAGCTTCGCCTCGCCTAGTATTTTTTTACTCGGATAGGTATTCTGGCATATCCACCTTATGGTCATCCAGTATTTGTTTAGTATGCCAATCTCAGGACTGAAAGGTAAACATTATCACTTGTAGTTTTGAATTTTAAATAAAACAAAAAATCTGAAATTAAATATACCAAATATTTGAGTAAACACTTGAACATTTCACTTGCATTTATTTATAACAGGTAACCTTGATATTTAGATGGTAACAAAATGCAAAATATTCTTTATTGAAACAGTTGCCAGACAGTATGCTTTAAATACAAAAAGCATATTACACATTTATAGGTGTAGTCCAGTATATACAGCCGAAGTTAACATTGCTAACAAGGGAAGGTGGCAAATTTTGAGTCAGGAAAAAACAAAAAGGGATTGTGGTCCCCATTCCCCCCTGGATCCGCCACTGTCAAGCTCCCGTATTTCCATCTCCTTTTCTACACTTGATGCAAGACTAGCCAATGAGGTAATAGTCCTATGTAAATCAATATATGAATTTTTTCAAATTGAGACATTTTTAGAGACTGTTCCTTACAGTGGTTAAGTTACTTAACAGGTGGCTAATGGAAAGAGAGTCTACTTTTAATAATGACTGCTCCTTATCCCATAACTGGAAGTGTATAAAAATATATGGTTAAGAAGTATACCATGAGAATTTTAAAGAGGTCATATAAACTTCCACATGAAAGAGTATCTCATAATAGAACACCGCTCCTAAGTGGCTTTTCTAAGCTGATAATAATAAGTCTTAACTTCAATAAGGCTTCACAGTCTAGTGTATACCCACAGTAAATTAGAACTGGGAAATTACAAATTAATGGAGATCTGACTCAATTCAAGGTATTTTGGGAGCTGTGCGTGATACTGTTTATTTATCTTATCCTTTACTTCAATAGTAGCACACTACAGTTCACAGAAAACATACATATACATACTGTGCTTATCTACTAATGCTGTTTACTAGTATATCTGCTTCAGCTTAAATTCAGGGTCAATGTGTAAAGTGATATAACAAGAAGAAACCAGACTGATTTGAAACTATAAATTACTTATACAGCCCACTTCTAACATCATGGGTGTTATTCAGATTTTTTGAAAATACAATGCAATCTTCCTGACTTACCTATCTGCAATGGATCCTCCCAGCTTATTCTTAACCAGGAGGTCTGGAAATGCATTCTCTGCAGTTTCTACTTTCTCTGTAGGGGTGATAGGTTGTGTCACGTGTCATGCTGTCACTGATTTTGCTTGGTGCCTTAAGGATGGTGATTCCTCACCACCAGAGCTTTCTATTGGCTGCGTATGATAACGTTCATGTTCAAATTTCCTCATTTCTCTTGATCGTCTCCTGGCTGCTATTGCTTAATTTTTGATATGTTTCGTAGCTCTTATTTCCTCTTCTGCACTACTGCTGAGCTTGTCTCTCTCATCTACTTTGATTACACTTTGTCCTATACTTAAATTCTCAACTACAGATTGACTATAACTACCTAATTGTGATGTCACTTGTGATGTCATTTCATCTGCTGCAGACTTATTGTCTTCACTACTACTCACTAGGTGTCTCTCAGGACTGGATTTAGTTTCTAGTTTCAAAATACTCCTTACTGTGTCACTATGTACATTATCACTGTTGTTTGCTGATTTTGTAGAAAGTTTCAAGATTCCCTTAATATTTGAATTATCTATGCTGCTTTTGATTGGTGGAATTTGCTTAGTTTCTAGATTTTCTTTCACCTGTTGCTTTGGTTCATGTTGAGCTACTGTTCCCTAAATAATAATAAACAAGTGTTCTTGACTTGGCAGATGTGTATAAAGGACCCACGGTCCTGTGCTCACACATTGTAGAACCTTTGGAAGAATGTATATCCTGATTTTCAAACAAAATTATTGATTTTATTTTAATTTGTAGTCTCGAACTTTGAGAAACTTAGATAGCACAGTTTGTGACCTAGTTTGAGGACCTTTGACTTTGAACATTTTACTTATTCAGAGCTCAGTACGTCTTTTGTGATTAAGGTGACCAAAACTTACATGCAAATAATCAATTTGAAAAATCAACATTTTTGACCTTTCAAAGGTCTCAAAAAAAAGTTCAGATTTGAACTCCTGGCAACTTGTAAACAATTTTCCCCCCAAAATTTGGTCAAATTGAAGCAAGTTGAAAAACTAATTTTTACTAATTTTTGACATTAAATATCTGAAAAACAGTAAAAATTTGATGCTGACATATATTGAGCAATATGTAGGGAATGCTTAAATCTAGTAATGATGTAATTCATTGCAAGTAATGAACAAGTATAGAGACAAACTTTGAGAAACGTGTCAATCACAAAACCTGCCATTGACGATATACATAAGAAAGTTCCCTGAAAATGACTCCCCTTAGTCTTGCTTTTTTGTCAAATTTTATAGCGTAAACATGAAAAACTGGGCGAACTTGGGAAATGGCAATGATAGGTCAAATAGGCATCATGGATATGTATAAAATGAATGTGAATATGACTCAATCTGAATAGCAGTTTTAATTTGTGCGGCCAATGTTGACAGACAAACCAACAGACGGACAGATGGACTGACCAACGGACAGACCAATTGACAGACGGATGCCTGGTCGATCAGGCTGTGTGAGCAAAAAATACCTGTACAACTTCGAGCAAATTGGTGAAAACCTGTTTTTACCCGATAAAAATGGTGGCCATTTTGAAATTAGGCCAGCTTTTGTGATGTCACTTATGAGACAATTGACGAGGCTATATAAACACATTTTAAAAGTAAAACCATCTTAATCGTCAAATAGGATTTTGGAGTAGAGCTGGAAAAAAGATTTTTTCCTGATAAAAAAATTCTCCATTTTGAAACAAGGCCAATTTTTGAGACGCCATTTATGGGACAATTGACAATGCTATATAAACACATTTTAAAAGTGAAACTATCTCAATTGTCGTGTACGATGTCAAACTAGCTACCAATGTGTTGACAAGCAGACAGACGGACAGACAAATGGACAAGTGCGCAATAACAATAGCTCACCCATGTGAGCTAATAATGATGGCCATTTTGAATGTTTGTTACATATTTTGCAAAAATTTGTAAATATTAATGATAACCTATAATATGTACAATTACAAACAAATTTATAAAATACTTGTGTACTTATGTCCAAAAGAAAGCTGAAATATGTTGTTGAAACTTGTAAGACATTATCGATAACCTATAAATAAAGGTAGCTGTACAATTTGAAGCAAATTGACAGAACATATTTTGAGTTAAGACCAAAGACTGGACAAAAACTATTCCTTTTGCACAGTGATTCAAATTCAGCTCTGGACCAAGTTTCAAACATCGCAAAAGCCAGTAAAATAGCTAAGTGCTAATATGGGAGTTATCCTGACCTGAATTTTTATGACATTTTCATTTGGGGCTATCTCCAGTGTAGTCATTAACGACCTTCTCGGTGGACATTGTCAGTAGATTGAGCCCCGGTCCGGCAATGTTTGCAAAAGTGCAGTTCATTTGGACCAGCATGATATTTAATTATTTGTTTTTCATTTTTTTCTAAGAACAACCGATTATAAACCGGTATAGTGAAATGATACATTAGATTACCGAATGTACAATATAAAATGTTTTGAAAGTCGATATAGCGAATCAATTTCAAGCTAGTTTTAGAGATGAAGCTGTAAATTTCTAACTGACCAGCAGACAAAGAAGAAATAGGAAACAGACTAAAAAGTACTCCTGTGACCTTAGTGGAATCCTTGGAAACCATGGAGGATATCCAAGATGTTGAGCCAAATGTCACAGTAAATGTAACCATGCCAGAAGATTATGACAGTTGTGATGAGTTTGATGACATTGACAATGACTATGACTCGGAGAATGAACTTAATATGGCCATTGAGGCCCTTTAAGGACCTTTTAAGGACCTTTGATTTAATGATACTGATTTAATTTTAAACCATGACTCATAAAACAATTTGTTGATTTATTGTTCTTTATTGTTTGACAAGATTTTGACTGACGAGTAACATTTCATACGGACCAGGGACTTTTCTTAGGTGCTGGTCATTTTGTCCAGGCTATTTTAATACGAACCACTTAACTTTGATGATCAACAGGTCCGTATGACCAGTCTCTTTTCCCCCTTAATGACTACACTGGCTATCTCAGGAGCACCAGACATTGCATCACTTCAAAAAAGAACCCACAGATGACTCAGAGCTGAGTCATGCATGACAGGGATACATGAGCCCATCTGTGTGAGCAAAGAACTGGTGACCATATGGCGGAGTATAGGATGTATCTTGAATTATCTTGCAACACCTTTTCCAAATAACCAGGCATGGCCAAATGTCAATAAATGAAATACTATTGGAAATAGGAGACACATGGCTTTATGGTACATTGAATGAAATCAATGTTGTCATCACTGGTTTTGTAGTTTCATCCAAGAGCGCTTGGCCCAATGCACCGACTTTTGCGATGTTTAAAACTTGGTCCCAAGCTTATTTTGGCCATGTGCAAAAGGAATGATTTTTCGACCAACCATGTCAACTCAGTTTGTTGAGATAACAAAAAATAACTCCACTACTCACCTTCAACTTACTCATTATTTCCTCTGGCAACTGTAAAAAGATTAATAACAAATATAAATACCTATATACATTTGTTAATGAAAACAAAGTTCCTGTCTTGACAAACTAGCTATTGTATTTACTTTGAATGACAAAACATTCTTTACTAAAATTCCTTAAAATAATATCATAGACTGTTAAACTAGATTACAGCAACACTGAGGCACAGGAAATCCCATCAAACACCTTTATAAGTGTCACACAAGGCTACAAATCATCAATTCTCAAAATGGTCACTATACTAGACAAACCCTCAGAAGATAATGTGTCAAACTTCAAATGCTCTAGCGTAGCCAAAATGAGGTAGTCAAAGCATTTGCCCCATCACCTTTTTAAGACCATAACAATATGTCAGCACTTTTGGTGCTGAGTGGTGACATAAAAAATGTTCAAAATAACTGACAGAAAACATAATCTTTGATAACTCAAATACCAGTGAACAGATTTGGTTCAAATTTTGTATGATGATGCCTAGGGACAAAGGTCACCAAAAACTCTTCTATTATGTGTACGGGTTTTGAAAAAATCTGATAATCAATTCTCCTGACATCACAATAACAATCAAGATCATAAAGTCACTTGCAAACCAATGAACGAAAGGTTTCACTATCACTATATCCCTTTTGAACATTTACAATTAAAATCTATTGTGAATATCAAAAAAAAATTCAAAAACATAACTTTTTAAACTCGAAAAACAGCAACTCCACGGAGCAAATCCCTCCGTACAAAACAAATTTTAATTGTAAGTGGCCATCTTGAAAATTCCTTCTTGAGTAAAGCTTGGCCACCATTTTGAAATTCAGCCACCATCTTGAAAATTCTTTCTTGAACAGAGCTACTTTGTCTTTAGGCATCATCATACAAAATTTGAACCAAATCTGTTCACTGTTATTTGAGTTATCAAAGATTATGTTTTTTTACAAAAAATGACCACCATTTTAAAATTCAGCTACCATCTTGAAAATTCTTACTCGAACAGAGCTATTGTGTTACTAGGCATCCTCATAAAATTTGGACCAAATCTGTTCACTGGTAATTGAGGTATCAAAGATTATATTTTTTAAATTCATCTCGAGCGAAGCTCCTTCGTCCCTAGGCATCATCATATAAAATTTGAACCAAATCTGTTCACTGACATTTAAGTTATCAGTTTGAGTTACTCAATACATTTACTGTGTCCCTAGGCATCATCATACACAATTTGAACCAAATCCGTTCACTGGTATTTGAGTTATCAAAGATTATGTTTTTTTACGAAAATGGACACCATTCTGAAATTCAGGCGCCATCTTGAAAATTCTTACTCAAACAGATCTACTGTGTCCCTAGACATCAGCATATAAAATTTGTACCAAATCCGTTCACTGGTATTGGAGTTATCAAAGATCACGTTTTTTCTAAGAAAAATGGCCGCCATTTTGAAAATCAGTCGCCATCTTGAAAATTTCATCTTTAGGAAAGCTCTTTTGTCCCTAGGCATTAGACTACATCAGCATATAAAATTTGAACCAAATCTGTCAATTTGTATTTAAGTTATGAAAGATTACATTTTTACGAAAAATGGCAGCCATTTTGAATTGAGCAGCCATATTGAAAATTCCTTCTTGAGCAGAGGTCCTACAGCCATAAGGCATAAGCCTATAAAATTTGAATCAAATCCTTCAATCAGTATTTGAGTTATCACCCGGACACACTGATGGACGGACAAACAAACGGACAGCTTTCCTATATCCCCCTTAAACTTTGTTTGGTGAGATAATTAACCATTTCAATCTTTGTTATTATTTGAAGATATCTGAATTATTTCTAAATAATGTGGTGAAGTTGATTATTATTATTACTACTGGCAACTAACTCATCTTTGAATTAATTTTTATTTTACATTTTCAAATCTCTATCTTACCATCTGTAATGATGTTTCCATTAAGACTGAAAGTGTATTCCTTGTCAATCTTCAAATTTCTTTCAATCCATAAAGCCTTTGTGATTTTGTAGACATCATCTTGCAGAACAATTGTCATCCTGAAAGAAAAATTGCATATTAGAAAGAGTTAAATTTAAACACTAATCTATCAAGTACTATGGTTCAACCTGCAAATGTGAAAAAGTTACAAGCATTTCAAAATTTAGTGTTTGGCCAAAATTGAAATTCAAGACAGTATCCTAGAAACCAGCCCTGGCCTGAACAAAAATATGACGTCTAATCAAAGATAAGTTGAATATTGTGTCAGAAAAAAGAGGATGATAAGGACATGTACTCTAAGGCAACACTTCTAAAATACCTTAAAAAAGTTTGAGGAGAATTAACCAGAACAAGGCAACGACAAAGCGTAGAGAATCCCATCGAACAGAAATGGCTGGCATTTTTACAAACGAATAGCAAATATCATAAAATAACACACCAGAAAGGCCACCATTTTCAAAATGGTTGCTCACTAACCAAGTTGTCATCAGAAGAAATAATTTGCTTTTAAGTAGCCACCTCTAAAATTTTTTAAAGATCGCACACATACTTGTAAAATAACACACATAAAAATGGTGGCCATTTTTCAAAATGGCCGACTACTCCCCAAAGTTTCATTAGACAATGTGCCATGCTTTAAGTATTCACATATCAAATATGAACAAAATCGCTTCACTACTTTTCGAGTTATAGTAAAATATGTTAAACATGGCGGCCATTTTTCAAAATTTTTTTCAAAATGGCCGCCTTCTACCAAAAGTGTCATAGGACAGTGTGCCATGCTTATAGTATTCACATACCAAATATGAACAAAATCACTCCACTACTTTTCGAATTATAGTAAAATACGTTAAAATGGCAGCCATTTTTCAAAATGGCCGCCTTCTACCAAAAGCGTCTTTAGACAGTGTGCAATGTTTATAGTATTCACATACCAAATATGAACAAAATCGCTCCACTATTTTTTTAGTTATAGCAAAAATCGTAAATTGATGAGTAAAGGCCGCCATTTTTCAAGATGGCTGCCATGTGCTTCTTTAATATCTACATTTGTAGCATAATTAATGTCCTTTATAATTTTTTTACATTTAAAACATATTGCCATTACAGTTTTACATATTGCACCTAAATTACTGTAAAATCAGCACTAAAATGGCCCCCATTTTGAAATGAGTGGCAATTTTGAAAATCGGCTTTCGAGCAGAACTTCTACCCATGTGTACAAAATATGAACAAAATCGGGTCAACGGTATTTGAGTGATTGCCCGGATGGACGGAGGCGTTCCCTTCGATGGGATAAAAATATCACTCCCCTATTTGAAGCATATTTAAGATCATATCTGAAAAGAATATCCTAGCTGCGAGTAGAAATAATCTTGATTTAAGTCATTAAAATTCACAATTCAGTCAAACTGATGTCATATTTGGAATCTACATATAAAATGACATCTAGAAATGTGGTTGTGAAAAGAGTTTATCAACTTTGAAAATTTAATTTTCTTTGAAAATGTGACTTCTAGGTCGGGGAGATTCCCCATAGACCCCATGTTGTAAAACCACAAAAAGTGAAATACCTTTTCTTGTGTTGGGCAGATAATATTTTCTTTTATTGGACATATTTCAATTTGTATAACTATCACATACATAAGGGTAATATAAAAAGTGAACCACTAAAACTGATGCATATTCAAGTTTAAGGGAATTTTGTAATACCCTGCCATGTTATTTCCCCTGAATCAGCCACCTTGTGGCGAAACTGGTAACTACCTACTCGCATCTGAGTAATTGCTGCTGTTAATACTAGAAAACAGCAACTCCTAAGAATAGCAAATCCCACTGAACAAAACATGTCTTGATAAATTGCGGTCATCTTAAAAATTTCTTCTTGAACAAATGAACTCCCTTGTCCCTAGGTATCAGCATATAAAATCTGAAGCAAATACAACCACTGGTATTTGAGTTTTCAAAGATTACGTTTTTTATGAAAAATGGCAGCCATTTTGAATTCAGTTGTCCTCTTGAAAATGTCTTCTTGAGTTGTTTATCTCTCTAGGCATATCAGCATATAAAATTTGAACCAAATTCATCCCCTACTATTTGAATTATCAAAGATTATGAAAAAATGGCCACCATTTTGAAATTCAATGGCCATCTTCAAAATCTCTGCATTCAGCAAAGCTCCTTTGTCCATCCCTAGGCATCGACATATAAAATCTGAACCAAATCCATCCAATGGCATTTGAATTATCAAAGATTATGTTTTTTACTCAAAATAGCAGCTATTTTGAAATCCTCTATCCTAGGCAACAGCATCTTAAATTTCAACCAAATTCATCCACTGGTATTTTAATTATCAAAGATTACGTTTTTTTTTACAAAAATGGCAGCCATTTTGAAATTCAGTGGCCATCTTGAAAATCACCCAGACAGACAGACAAACAGATGGACAGACAAGCGGATGGACGAACAGACAGACGCCTTCTCTATATCCCTCACAAACTTTGTTCATTGGAATAACAACTAAGTGAGACACACCAACTATTAAGCTTGATTATTTTTTCATAGTACAGGGTGTTCAGTAAGTAAAGCTAATTTTGTTCATAAAGCTAATTTTGCTCTCAAACTTTTATTTTTTGTCATTTATCTTTCAAATTTTCAGTGAAGAAGCATTTGACATTTTTCTAACTACCCTGAAAAATTAAATAAGATATGATGAATAACAGCAAAACAATGGTTGTCATAGTAACGCGAATACAGGTTCTGCGGAGCAATTTCTTACTTTAATAAAAATGTTATAATGCAATGAAATTGATTAAGATTAATGCTGCATATGTCTGTTTGCTATGGCTGAAAGTCACGACAAACATAACAACATACACAAATATGATACCATGGCAACAGTAGTCTATGACATCACAGACAGATGATACAACAGATGGAATGATCCAGAATGATCCATCAGACACTGCTCCATGACATCATCAAAAAAATCATAGCTGCCAGGATTGCCAATGGAAGCAAAATGAACAATGAAATGAAACAACAATTGAGAAGTAGCATCAGATACAATGTGTTGCTAGGGAAATCCAAGCAGGATACCATTAGGGATATCCAATGAAGGACCCACGGTCCTGTGCTCACACAGTTTGGAACCTTCAGAGGAATGTATATCCTGACTTTCAAACAAAAATATTGATTTGGATTTGTAGTCTCGAACTTTGAGAAACTAAGATAGCACAGTTGTGTGACCTAGTTTGATGACCTTTGACCTTGAAAATTTTACTCAGAGCTCAGTAAGGTCTTTTGTGATTAAGCTGACCAAAATTTACATCCAAAAATCAATTTGAAAAATCAACTTTTTGACCTTTCGAAGGTCACTGAAGGTCAACTAAAGGTCAAATCCTAAAACTAATGTCAGATTTGAACTCCTGGCAACTTGTAGATGATTTTCAAAAAAAAATTTGGTCAAATTGAAGCAAGTTGAAAAATAACGTTTTTTGACGTCAAATATCTCAAAAACGGTAAAAGTTTGATGCTGACATATATGGAGCAATATGTAAGGAATGCTTTAATCTAGTAATGATGTAATTCATTGCAAGAAATGATCAAGTATAAGGCAAACTTTGAGAAACTTGTCAATCACAAAACCTGCCATTGACTTTATACATGAGAAAGTTTCCTGAAAATGACTAAGTCCTACTTTTTGTCAAATTTTATAGAGTAAACACCAAAAACTGTAATTCCAAGAGCTTTGAAATCTTCAGAGGACATAAGTTGCATATACAGCAACTACTAAAAGTTATTTGAAAGTTCTACTTCAACAAAGTGTCTAGTATTTACGGAAAATTTGACTTTTTGACGTCAAAATCCGCAATTTCTCGGAAACCGGGCGAACTTGGGAAATGGCGATGATAGGTCAAATAGGCATTATGGATATGCATAAAATGAATGTGGCTATGACTCAATCCGAATAGCAGTTTAAATTTGTGCGGCCAATGTTGACGGACGGACGGACCAACGGACGGATGGACAGACGGACGGACGGACCAACGGACGGACGCCTGGTCGATCCCATAGGCTCACTGTGTGAGCCAAAAAGCATATGGGGACAGTGTGCCTAAGTACAGAATCTTCAAATGGTATCAGAAATTCTAAAAGGGGAGAAAAACAACAAGTGATGAGCCAAGGTCAGGGTAACCAAACTCGTCTGGCCCAGTTATCTACTCCTGAGATCGTAGATCTACGATATCGAGAGTAAATAACTGGGCCAGACAGGTTTGGTTAAGGTCAGGGAGGCCAAAACTTCTAACCAAAGAGGCTAACATGAATCATTTGAGGCAATTGTTAGATGAAGACCGCAGTATAAGTGTAAGGGAACTCTCAGAACTAACCAATATCAGCCTAGGATGGGTACATTATCTGATTCACAATTCTCTAAATATGTCCTTGGTGTCTGCGAAATGGGTACCAAAGAATCTGACCGACGAGCAGCGTAGAAATCGCCTGGAAGATTCAGTTGCATTCTTGCGCCGTTACAAAGATGAGGGAGAGGACTTTCTAAACAATCTTCTCACTTGTGATGAAACTTTTGTTCGATACTTTGAGCCAAATAGGACAAGACAGAACAGTGCGTGGCGAACAAAGAACTCTCCAACACCCGTGGGGATCGTTGCAAAGCTAGCTCTTGGAGCATCAGCGGGGAAAGTCATGTTTATCATTTTTATAGACATCGAAGGTCCATTGTTGGCTCATGCCGTGCCAGAAGGGCAAACTGTTAACAAGGAATATTATGCCATGGTAATTACATTTTATGAAAAATATATCTTTCTAATATATTAGCTTGGTTTGCGTATTTTCCTGACAAGGCACCGTGCGATTTTGGGGTATTTTCATGTTTGAAAAATGATCTGCGTGGTAAGATCCACGCAAATATCCATGAGCTGCAGAATGCTGTTCAACGTTCGCTGACAAAGAACTTTCCAGATGGCTTCCACAAGATATATCAGAAGTGGATAGAACGACATCAGCTGTGTGTGAAAGCTAAGGGGAACTACTTTGAACATGAAATAGAATGCTAACTTGAAAGTAGAAATGTGGAGTAGCCACAGAACTATGGTTGAAATATAGACAGGACAGAAACTAACGTTAACAAAATCTACTATGCTGTGAACTTATAAAATTGCTCCGCAGAACCCGTATTCGCGTTACTATGACAACCACCATTTTGCTGTTATTCATTATATCTTGATCATTTTTTCAGGATAGTTAGAAAAGTGTCTGATGCTTCTCCACTGAAAATTTGAATGATGATAGACAAGAAATAACAGTTTGAGAGCAAAATTAGCTTTACTTACTGAACACCCTGTATATGGTAACATATTTTACAAAACCAGCAACAACATTAATTTTGTGATAATAACTCCACTTGCACTCCCCTCCATAAGTTTGGCAACCTTAGCTCCCCATTGAGCTATATGTTAAAGCCACTTTACATTTGAATTTTTATTAATTCACCTGCGATGAAAATACTTATAATATTGATGGAAACGTAAATTGATCTTATTTCCAATACCTCCAAATTTTTTCAATTTTTTTCCTCAATGACAATAGGTTGAAAATTGATGATGAATTTGATGGATTTTTGAAAATCGACATTCCCATGTAAACCAATGGGAAATGGTGGGTTTGCTGCAAATCATATGACAGAATATCCATCCATCTGAGTCCTTGCAAAAAACACTTACTGAACAAACAAAAAAGTTAGACAATTCAATTTTCTATATAAAAATATTTTTTTGTTGAATCTTTTACTGAATAGATATCCTGATTTCTGATTTGCCCTGAACCCACCATTTCCCATTGCTTAACATGGGAATGACAATTTTCAAAAAATCATCAAATTCATCATCTATTTTCAACCTATTGTAATTGAGGGAAAAAACTAGGATTTAGGTGTATTGGAAATAAGGTCAAGTTACATTTCCATCAATATTATTAGTATTTTTATCGCAAGTTAAATAAATAATAAGCCACACGGTGAACAGAATCGCACCCTTGAACAGAATACACTTTTCGGGATGGAAAATTCAAAATGGCCACCTTAACATTTACCCAGACTGCCTAAAAACTAATCAGTTCTAAACTTTCCATAGAAACATCTCTAAAATTTTAGGATGAATCCATGAAACCTGTAAACAACCCTCAAGAGACACGTTTAGATTGACCATTTAGTTATTTCTAAAAAAAATGTTTTAATTTAACATTGCTCTCAATGGGAAATTCTTTTTATTTTTTAAAACAAGCCTTAACAGACACTAAAACTAATCAGTTCTAAACTTTCATAGGTAAAAACATCCCTGAGAATTTCAAATGAATCCCTCAAACGGTTTGGCTGGAAACCTGTAGACAAGCCTTGACAGACAAGATTTTAGGACGGAAAATCCAAAATGGCCACCTTAACATTTACCCAGAATGCCGAAAAACCTGTAATAAATAAATAAATAATAAAACCCTTGGCCAATATGATATATCTACCCTCGGGACCTATATATATTGGCCTCAGGGTAATCCCAATATCCTGAACTGACTACAGGATAATCTCTACAGTCAATATGTTACGACATGCGCAAAGCTCTATTTAGTGATATTTTCATTTCAAATATGGCAGCCAATCCGATGTCTGACGACCCTTACAAAAAATCTAGGCAGTGTGCATTTTTACCTCCTATGAAATAACAAGTGGAATGTAGTAGTTGTTTTGTGTTTTATTATCATTCTGCATCGTAATTCTATGTGCCGTGGTGTTAAAATGTCAGCAGAAATACATATCCATACGATAATTGAGTGAATTAGATAACAGATTTTTCAAAAACCCAGCTCCTGCTAAGTGTGTAAAAACTTGTATTAACATGCTAAAAAGTGCAAATGTGCACCTCAATGTCAAGCTAAATCAATGTTGTGTCTAAAACAGGTACCTGATCTATTCAAAACAGCTTGTCATTCATTTATACACGCTTAGCAAACAGGGCGAAATGATCTGAATCTTGGAATTTCTTTTGAGAGCTAGTAATGGTTGCTCCGGTCTTCGTCATAAGTGTTCATCAGTTTTCGCGCATGCTCGGGAGAAAATCATCAACCAATCACGTTTATAAATCAATTTTGCGCATGCGCCTTACAAGGGTAAAAAATTCGTATTTATAAACAAACCAATTTGAGATAACCCGATATCAGTCGGAGAAATCTGACGATCTAGGAAACTCACTCCAAAAAATCAAATGCGGACTGACGGCATATTCAACTATGCTGGGATCTAAGATTTTCAGTATAGATAAAGTCTTTTGGGATCTTTCGAACAAGGTAAGTCTCTAGTTCAAAAGACAATCATATCAACTTGAACAAAAGTTGAGTTTTGACGAAAAATTTTAACATGCGCAAAAGTCCCATTTTCGTAGTACCATATTGACTGTCTGTATATACAATTTTTCACAATTTCAACCAACAAGACACACAGTGATAAATATCGCACTTTGAAGAGCAAACTGGTCACCATGCAATTTACCCAGCATGGCCAAAACCTAATCAGACCTTTGCACTAGTCTGCTCTTCCAACTGTAAACATATCAAGTTGACAAGGTTAGCGGTTTTCCTGCAATTTTGATGACAAGAATTTATTTGTAATCTTGAAACTTTGGGAAAATTTAGATAACATTGTTTGGACCTAATTTGATGACCTTCGACCTTGAAAATTTCACTTTTTCAGACCTCAGTAGGTGTTTTGTAATTAAGCTGACCTAAATTTAAATCCAAAATATCAATTTAGAAAATCAACTTTTTTGTCCTTTTCAAGGTCACTGAAGGTGAATGAAAGGTCAAATCTGAAGTCTAAAGTCAGATTTGAACTTCTGAGAACTTGTAGATGTTTTTAAAAAAAAATTTGGTCAATTTGGAGCAAGTTGAAAAATTCAAAATGGCCACCATGTAATTCAGCCAGCATACCCAAAACCTAATCAGATCTTGGCAATAGTCTGCTCTTGCATCTGTAAAAATTTCAAGTTAAACAGATAAGTGGTTTTCCTGGAATTTTGATGACAAGATTTGTTGAAAAATTCAAAATGGCCACCACGTAGTTTACCCAGCATACCCTTAACCTAATCAGATCTTGGCAATAGTCTGCTCTTGCATCTGTGAAAATTTCAAGTTGAACAGGTAAGCAGTTATCCTGGAAATTTGATGACAAGATTTGGTTTATGTGCCGCCCGCCCGCCCAACAGCACAAGACGATGACAATATAGCACTTTTTCAAAGTGCGATAAAAACGTTTTGGTGGTGACATAAACATGAATGTGGATAGGATTTAATACAAGTATCAGTTTTAATTTGTGTGACCCAAAAAATATAATAGCGCTCAAAAATTATTTTAAATACAATATAAAGAACTAACATCTCTTCACTATTTTCCAAACTCTGCAGATCAGCTGCACTTATGACACACTTTATCTGGGACATCTGCGTATCCTGAAAGAACAAAACTAAAGAATGTAAAATTCAACAAGGCATTAATATGACAATATGTCCCTACTTACTTGGTCAAATCTGAAATCTAAAGTCACATTTGAACTCATGAGAATTTGTAGATGATTTTGAAAACAAGCCACAGGGTGAACAGAATCACACCCTTGAACAGAATACACTTTTCGGGATGGAAAATTCAAAATGACCACCTTAACATTTACCCAGACTGCTGAAAACTGATCAGTTCTAAACTTTCCAAAGAAACATCTCTTAAATTTTAGAATGAATCCATGAATCCATGAAACCTGTAAACAACCCTCAAGAGACACGTTTTAAGGTATTACTTCACAGTGTATCAACCTGTAGTCAAGCCTTGATGGACAAGATTTTAGGACGGAAAATCCAAAATGGCCATCTTAACATTTATCCAGAATGTCGGAAAACTTATCAGTTCTAAACTTTCATAGGTAGAAACATCCCTGAGAATTTCAAATGAATCCCTCAAACGGTTTGACTGGAAACCTGTAGACAAGCCTTGACAAACAAGATTTTAGGACGGAAAATCCAAAATGGCCACCTTAACATTTACCCAGAATGCCGAAAAACTAATCAGTTCTAAACTTTCATAGGTAAAAACATCCCTGAGAATTTCAAATGAATCCCTCAAACTGTTTGGCTGGAAACCTGTAGACAAGCCTTCACAGACAAGATTTTAGGACGGAAAATCCAAAATGGCCACCTTTACATTTACCCAGAATGCCGAAAAACTAATCAGTTCTAAACTTTCATAAGTAGAAACATCCCTGAGAATTTCAAATCAATCCCTCAAACCATTTGGCTGGAAACCTGTAGACAAGATTATTTGGGACACCCAAACTGATTACAATATAGCACCTGAGGGTGCGATAAAAATTAGTCAATTTGAAACAAGTTAAAAAAAGACCTTTTTGACAGATTTAAGGACAGAAAATCCAAAATTGCCACCTTAACATTCACTTAAAATGCCCAAAAATTAATCAGTTCTAAACTTTCATAAAAACATGCCTGAAAATTTCAGGTAAATCCCTCAAACAATTTGGTTGAAAACCTGTAAACAAATTGAAAAGTGAGACACCAGCTGCCCACCTGCACGCTCACCTACCACAACCCATCAAGCCAATAACAATATGGTACGTTTTTTAGGTACAATAAAAAATTAAGTTCAAACAATGTTTAAATATAATTACCATTTCAATTTTGGTTTCTGGTGTACAAACCAGTGTCACTGGTCCCTGCAAATATCTTGCTGTCTCCAAATTTTTGAAGAGATATTTTCTCCCTTCTTCCAGGATCTCTGTTTTTCTTATGTCACCAGACCAAAATTTGGATATCACTCCATTCTCACTCTCCCCATCGGTCACCTCCACTTCAACCCTGTTTTCTAATATTTTTTTCTGAAATAAAAAGCAAAACACAAAATGAACACAATCACACCCTTACATAAAACCAGAACAATGGCAATGCCAAAGCGTAGCAAATCCCATCGAACAGAAATGGCTGGCACTTTTACAAACAAAATATATAGCAAATTTCATAAAATAACACCCATAAGAAAGGCCACCATTTTCAAAATGGTTGCTCACTAGCCAAGTTGTCATCAGAAGTAATATGCTTTTAAGTAACCAGATATAAAATTTTTTAAAAATCACATACACATACATGTAAATGCTGGCCATTTTTTAAAATGGCCACCTACTACTCAAAATGTCATAAGAGAGTATGCAATCCTTACCAGTATTCACATATCTAAACAAAATTGCTCTATTACTTTTTGAATTATAATAAAAAATGTAAAATAACGCACATAAAAATGGTGACCATTTTTCAAAATGGCTGACTACTCCCCAAAGTTTTATAAGACAATGTGCCATGCTTAAAGTATTCACATATCAAATATGAACAAATTCACTCTAATACTTTTTGAGTAGTAGTAAAAAATGTAAAAAAATGGCCACCTACTACGCTAAGTGTCATAAGAGAGTGTGCAAGGCTCACATATCAAATATGAAGAAAATCGCTCCACTACTTTTCAAGTTATAGTAAAAAAACATAAAAATGGTGGCCATTTTTCAAAATGGCTGCCTACTACCCAAGGTGTCATTAGACAGTGTGCCATGCTTATAGTATTCACATATAAAATATGAACAAAACCATTCTACTACTTTTTGAGTTATAGTAAACAATGTAAAATAACACACGTAAAATGGTGGCCATTTTTCAAAATGAAAACTTGAAAAATGGCAGCCATTTTTCCAAATGGCCACCTACTACCCAAAATGTCATTAGACATTGGACCATGCTTAAAGTATTCACATACCAAATATGAACAAAATTGCTCCACTACCATTGACTTACAGTAAAAAAATGTTAAATAACAAAAGTAAAAATGGCAGCCATTTTTCAAAATGGCCGCCTACTACCAAAAATGTCATTATACATTGTGCCATGCTTAAAGTATTCACATACCAAATATGAACAAAATCACTCCACTATTTTTCAAGTTATAGCAAAAATCTTAAAATGATGTGCAAAGGCAGCCATTTTTCAAGATGGCTGCCATGTATTTCTTCTGTATTTACATTTCTATTACAGTTTTATATGCAGTACCTAAATTACTGTAAAATCGGCACTAAAATGGCCGCCATTTTAAAATGAGCGGCCATTTTGAAAATCAGTTTTCGAGCAGAACTTCTACCCCCATTGGGTATATATGTACAAAATATGAACAAAATCGGGCCAATGGTATTTGAGTTATTGCCTGGACGGACAGATGTACGTACGTACGTACGGATGGAGGCGTTCCCTATATCCCTCCGAACTTCGTTCAATGGGATAATAAACAGTTTTCAGAATGGAAAATCCAAAATAGCCACACTAACATTTACTTAAACTGCCAAAAAATCAGTTCTAAATTTCAATGCAACAAACATCTCTAAAGATTTCAAATGAATACATGTGAATGTTCAATTTAATACTCAAGTAAAACCATTATAAATATTCACAAATAAATGAAAAAATTACAATACAGAGTAAACCTTGTTTAATCAATAGCCATTAGAAAGTAAAACAAAATTTCAAAAATCCAGGAAAATCGAATAAGTGGAAAACCTTAAAATCACCATTTATACCCCCTGAGGTAATTTTGTGAGGGGGTAATTAATAATTTCTGTTATGTAACTCAAATCACAATAACTCAAATCACAATAACATTTTCAGGGATCACGCACCTATATATAGTTAGTTGTCACAGCAAGTCTAATATTAATTGGTCAACTAGAAAAACAGCAACTCCACGGAGTAGCAAATCCCACCGAACAAAACATATTATGCTTATTATAGCTAGTGTAAATGTTAAAATGTTTGTGCACTTTGTGATAGAAGCATAAAATTTGGCACAAAGTTAGTTTTGAACCAAATCCGTCAACTTGTATTTGAGTTATCAACGATTACATTTTTTTACGAAAAATGGCGGCCATTTTGAATTGAGTGGCCATATTGAAAATTCCTTCTCGAGCAGAGGGAGTTGGAGTTATCACCAGGATACACGGACAAACGGATGGACTGACGGCTTCTCTATATCCCCCTTGAACTTCGTTCGGTGGGATAATAAGAATACAGTCCATTTTATGACGACATTTTCGCAAATTGCCTGAAAGTTTTGACAAAATGAGCTGAGAAGGACATGGTTTATCCTTGGTTTGTATCTGTTCAACAAAAGTAGAGAACAAACCTGTATGAATGATCATTTTTTGTCAAATGGGCGGGCAGATTATTGCGTTTGATGGGTTCAAATCGGGAACACATCGTAGTGATTTTCAAAAGGGCTCTTGTAATTTATGCAATGACTTGTTTTAAGATATTGGCTTTTTACTTTAATAGGTTACCTCCCTCTGTTTTATTCATGTAGATCAAATTAATTAAATAAAAATTTGTTCAACATAAATTTTTTTCAAAAATTAATTTCAAATTAAATTAATCATCTATATTAAATCAATTAAATTATGACGAGCTTATGAATATAAGTAGAACGCCGAAGTGTATTTTTCCGAAGGCAGGACAAAAACAAGCTTGACAAACCAATAATTACTGCTCAGTGTGTTTAGTATTCTAGAATTCCTCTCTGCAGCGGTTATTCTCGGCGATTCCACCCCTGAAACTTTACCCAACGTGTAGATGAATTATTTTCTTCTGTTCCCATTATGAGCAATCATTAGTTCACTAAATATACCGATCATTTGCAAATTCCGAGAATCCTAAAGTGTATACTGGATGAAACAGATTCAGTCAAAAATCCCCATTCCCAGGCACACGTAAATCTAATTCCCCACCCCCGGGACAATCTTTGTGAAATTCCTACCCCTGGGGACAATATTGTGGATCAAATTCCTTACGCTCCCCGCGTGGAGGGGTCTCACGCAAACTTTTGAATGATGCATAATATGCATTAAACATCCAGATTCAAAGGTGATACAACTTTAGAATCTATGATTGCTATAGCATTCAGAGCCTAAGATGGGTACAACCTCCATGAGTCTAAAATGGTACTGTTCCAAACCCTTAGATGGTACAGCCTCCAGATATAACATGGGATCAGTCTTCAGAGTCTTAAATGGTACAGCCTTCAGAGGCTATGATTGCTATAGCATTCAGAGCCTAAGATAAGTACAGCCTCCATGAGTCTAAAATGGTACATCTTCCAAACCCTTAGATGGTACAGCCTCCAGATATAACATGGGATCAGTTTCCAGAATCTAAGATGGAACAGCCTTCAGAGCCTAAGATGTTCAGCCTCCAGAGTTGAAAATAGTATAGTCTATGAGTACAACTATCAGAATCTAATATGATTTCAGCCTCAAGAGTTTAACGTGTACATTTACTTCTATGATGAGTACAATCTCCAATTCCAAGAGTCTAAGATGGTGCAGCCTCTATAATCTCTGAATTCAGCCTACAGAGACTAGTATGGTGTAACTTCAGAGTATAATATTAGTGATTGCACTAGGCCTTGGTAATTTTGAGTACTTTATACTCAAATCACTTTTAAAAATGGGGTACAAATTAATAATAGGTCCATTTAACAGATTTTTGGTCCACTTAAGCTTTTTCAAAAAAACTCATTCTTCCATTTACTTTTAAAAACCAATTGCATGTTGTAGATAAACCTTTTATCTTGAGATGTGCAATTTCAAAAAGTACCATTAGTTTTCAGTTGCTTAGAAAAATTGGCAGTAAGAACCCCCGTTCCAGGGCTCTCTGAATCTGGGTAGACACTATGTTTACCATCAAAATAGTATCAAAACGTATTGTTATATAACATTTATTACATGGAACCTATGGCAAATAAGCATTCTGAGATGAACATTGACAAAATGCAATTATATTTGTTGTTTATCTATGCAAATCTGGAAAACATTGTCATAGTTTGTTCATTTTGCTATATGTATTAGCATGGTGCTTATCCCCCTTCATTGGAAAGTTAACAGTGAGCACACTTCCCCACAATAAAGATATTGAAACTGTATGATAAAGTGATTGGAGAGAAGATTGGAGAGAAGCTTCTCTGCAATTAAAACCCAACTTTTGAAATAAAAAAATAATGAAAAATAGGCCTGACTGGTTTATGCTTTCAATATGACTGCCAACATGTACACAATATAACTTAATATACAGATTAGGCCATTCAAAATTAATTAAATGTTGACATTCTGATGAAGAAGCTTATATTAAAAACTAAAGAACCATTATCCATTTTAAGGGTTTTGTATGTTATTCAACAGTGAAAATACAATAATACATACTGACAAAGTAAATGACAAACATGTACTTCATGATCAGTTCAGATGACCTTGTTCATGAAGACAGTATACTGAAGCTTAAATACATCAGTTTTAATTTATCTGGGAACTCATTTCACTACAATATGATCTAAGATCACAATTTAAAAGTTATGTTTTTTCATTTAAATTCATTACAAGTACAGAGTTCATAGGGACACTTTGATTATTTTCTGAAAAACATAGAAGGTATATGTAAGTGACATTAATCAAACAAAACACTTTGAATTATTTGGTAATTCTTTAAATGTCATGTCATTTACACAATCTTGCCTTATATTCTGTAATTTATCAGAACATATTAAAAGAGGATTTCTCTGGATTATTTGTGTTTCAAATATGGGAACTGCATATTGGCAAATAACTTTAAAATTAAGTGCCCAAATGGATATTCGATTTAAATCAAATGCCAAATGCAAATGGGCAATTTTCAAAAGTAAGCCTATAACACTTTAGAGTATGGCAAACATGTTAAGAAAACTGACAAGAAACCATTCTCATTGAAGTGCTCTTATGTGCAGTTAATTGCAATCGTTTTTTCCTAATTGCCAATAGGCATTTAAGAAAAACATTCACCTCCTACTCTTAAAACATGCTTACAATACCGGAAGAGCCTCAAACCAACTCAAAGGGAAACAAGAATATTAAATTTAGAAGCAAGACAATTAAGTCCATCTATACTTCTGTAGGGGGCCTAAAAGAGGGGTTTACTGACACTTGTTTTTGGGTACTTTATTTGCAACCGCAAATGATATAAATTGTGTTCTAAAAATTCAAATTAGATGCACATTTTTAATAATATAGCATGGTTTACTTGTTTGTGCTATAACTTCTAAATTGTCACACAAAAAAAATTTAATTTTTAATTGTCACACATTTGATTGTAAAATACTCTTTCAAAAATGCTTCCCCTGGGTAACTGACATCATCCAGATGAACTCCCATTCCCAAGCACCCCTTTACACTTTCATTGTTTCAACTTCCAATAGAAATTTCAATTATTCTAGACTTTCTCAATTCAAAATCAAGTTTCGCAGTAAACAAATTGAAAATCTGCAGCAATTAGGCATAAAATAGCCGCAGTTATTTGCATGCATCTTGTCATTCTGTCATTGACTCATTATGATCATTTTTATGGACAATCCCGCAGAAATATTTCTGCAACATGTCCGTCCAGTTTTGCGTAAAAATGAAACTAATTGCGTAAAAAAACACAAAATAGGGCGTTAATGCAATCATAGAATATGGATTTAGCCTCTAGAGTCAAAGATGGTACATCCACCACCTTCTATGATTTCTATGAAAATCAAAGTCTAAGATAGGTAAAGCCTCCAAGACACTGGTGATCCACTCGATTACGCTGGTTACCAAAACGGTTCGTTTTGGTAACAAAATGTCGGAACATCCGGAAGGTACGATTTTTCTCGTTTACTTATTTTACACGTTGTAGGCAGAATTCCCACGACATTTTTTAACACAAACGTGTATCACTATCATATGTTTAAGAAAGTGTACATATTTGCGAACAAAATAGTTTAGAAGACAACAGAATCGTCGATTTACTTCCTCACTTAAGTTACATAAACGGTTTGGGTTAAAAGTGCAGATCTTAACTGTTTTTCGAAAAAACCGTTTATGTAACTTAAGTGAGGAAGTAAATCGATGATTCTGTTGTCCTCTGAGCTATTTTTTCGCAAACATGTACATTTTCTAAAACATATGATACTGATGCACGTTGTGAGAAAAAACGTCGTGGGGATGCTGCCTACAACGCGTGAAATAAGGAAAAAAGAAAAATCGTGCCTTCGACGTTCCGACATTTTGTTACCAAAACGGTTCGTTTTGGTAACCAGCGTAATCGAGTGGATCACCAGTGCAAGAGTCTTAAGATAGCATAGCCTACTAGGATTTGAGATGGTATAGACTCATAGAGTTTAAGATGGTACAGTCTTCAGAGTCTACAACTGGCACATCCTCTACAATCTAAGATGGTACAGTCTCTATAGTCTAAAATAGTACGGCCACCAAAATATAATATGAATTCAGCCTCCAGAGACCAATATGGTGTAACTTCAGAGTATAATATGAATTCAGCCTCCAGAGCAAATATAGTACAGCCACAATTGTCTATAATTTCTATGAAAGTCATTCAATTTCATAATTTCTAAGAAAGTCATTCTAGAGTCTTAGAGGGTTTAATTGGTACATCCTCCAGAGTCTACAATATAATTATACTTGATATTTGAGTTAGACTGGCTTACTATTTAATCAAAATATACTTACATTCTTGACAAACCCACTAATTGATAGCCTCCTCTTCTTAGTAGGTGACTCCTTTGTTACATTCAAACTCTCAGTTGGTGCGTTAAAGAAATCTCTAATTAACCCATCAGCAATGATGAATTTTCCACCATCAAGTAACTAAAACACATAAAAAATTACTGTACATATGTATTCTCTTTAACTAAAAAAACAACAATTCCACAAAAGAACAAATCCCACCTAACAAAATATATTTCAACAAAACATTAACATGACAAAATGTCACCGATATTTCAAAACTAGAAAATGGCAACTCCATGGAGTAACAAATCCCAACAAATAATATATCAATTACCAAATTTCCAATCAGTAAACTCATTACTTTGGCTAGAGATGAAAAATTCAGATTTTAGAATTGTGAATTCCTGCAAGGCAACCATTTTGAATTTTTTGAGGCACAAATCAGAACAAGCTACAGGGGTCTGTTTCCGACCTGTAATTCATATGAACAGTCACGTTGTAGGAACAACTGACTCTATACAACTAAGATACGACTTTAGCAAATAATCATTTCTGAAGTCAGGTCTGTCCTAGTCGTATAGAGCCTGGTCGTATAGCAAAGTCATGTGTTTAACGACAATGGTATGCATATTTAAGCTGCTTTACGACATAGCGATGGTGTCATTTGGCGACACTGGGCACCACTTTTGAATATGTGACATGTTTTTTAAATCCGATTCAAATATTGCAAATGCTTGGTGTCCCGAAGATGAAGTTTGTGGCGGTGATGCCAACCACTTATATGGAACACCACTCATTTTATGAATCTACCGCCACGATTAAGACATGCATGCTGATTACATTTTCATCACCACTCGTTAAATTAGTGTATATCAGACTAAAAATCAAACCTTCAGAGACTAAAAACATAAATAAACATGGTATATAATTTAAACAAGAACACAAATGTGTATAACATGTCTCCACCAATGGGTGATTCCATCAAATGGTTATCCTGATAATGGGTAGACAAAACTTTACTGACACAATTTTAGTACGGAAAATCCAAAATCGCAACCTTAAAATTTACCAAGAATGCCAAAAATTAGTCAATTCTGGACTGGATTTTCATACCAGAACCACCCCTGAAAATTTGAAATTGATCCATCAAACAGTTACCCAGAAAATGCGTCAACAAGACTTTACAGACAAGATTTTAGGATGGAAATCCAAAATGGCTGCCTTGACATTTACCCAGAAAACCAAAAAACTAATCAGATCTAGATTTTCATACCAAGAATCATCCCTGAAAATTTGATATTGATCTACCAAAAGGTTCACCTGAAAACACGTAGACAAGACTTACAGACAAGATTTTAGGATGGAAAAATCCAAAATGGCCAACAATATAAAAGTGATTATGAGTTTTTGCTGATTTCTTTTTACAAAAAAATTATCACATATATCTATTATGAACAATAACATGGGCATCTACAAGAAAGTACACCTAAAATTATTTATAAAGCTACTAAATAGTTCAAGTATGAAAACTCAAAAACACCATTCAACATGATATTAAATATTATCCCGCGCTAACTTTTCTTCAGACATTCAAAATGGCTGCCATGACTGAGCTAACAGGTCCAAAGCCTAATCTGATGTAGAATGAAGTGAGCTGAACAAGATGTTAAAGTTTTAAAAGTAACTGTGAAGCTGTTTTTCTTCAAGTTTGCAGACAAGGATTTTAGCATTTGACTTCAAAATGACCGACAGGAAGTAGGTATCGAGTTAAAAAATTTTCATCCCCATTTGTATGCACTCATAAGTTATCCCTGAAAATTTGAAGGTGATAACTGTAGCAGGTTTTGGAAAAAATTGCCTGACGGATGGAGGGACAGACAGATAGACACGCCTAAGGCGACAATATGGCCCCACACTATGTTGTGGGGACATAATAATTATAGACTTCAACATCTTTTCACAATTATGTTAAAAAAGAACAAGCGTCAACCACCAACTACCAAGCATTTATTATCACTCTCAGTCCACAGTTAGTGCCTGTCAGTCTTTTACTTGATATAACAGATATGCAAAATTTGAGAAAGAAACCAAAATCAAGAACTAGGAATTTAATGACAATAGTAGCTTTAGAAAACCATACTTTAAATGCTTTAACCTTTTTTAATTACGACGATAACATTGTCAAATCAGTGTCATGATTGTGTCAACTCCTACAGGTATAGACGACTTTTAAAACCTTCAGTCATATCATTTACGATATGACTATGAATTTGGAAAATTCAATTAGTTTTCCTGAAATGGCGATGACAAGATTTAAAAAAAAAACTTTCAAAATGGCCACCAGAAAACAAGATGGCCGCCCAAAAGTTAATTACCTCTAGAACTCAATATCCTCTATCATATATGCGAATTTGAAGAAAATCTAAAAAGAGATTTCCCTGAAATGGCGATGACAAGTATTTTAGAAAAACCTTCAAAATAGCTACCAAAAAACAAGATGGCCATCCAAAAGTTAATTAGCTCTACATCGCAATATCCTCTACCATGTGAACGAATTTGGAGAAAATTCAATGAGCAGTTTTCCTGAAATGTCAATGACAAGATTTATTGAAAACCTTCCAAATGGCCACTAAAAACAAGGTGGCCACCCAAAACTTGATCAGCTCTAGAACTTGATAATCTTTATCATGTGTGCAAATTTGGACAAAATCTAATGAGCAGTGTACCTGAAATTGCAATGACAAAATTCATCGAAAAACCTTCAAAATGGCTGCCAGAAAACAAGATAGCCACCCAAAAGTTGATCAGAGATCTTCTATCATATATGAGAATTTGGATAAAATCCAATGAGCAGTTTTCCTGAAATCACAATTGCAATATTCATCAACAATAAACCTTCAAAATGGCCGTCAGAAAACATGATGGTCACCTAAAAGTTCATCAGCTCTAAAACTTAAGATCTTCCCACCAGGGTGGAGTGTCTTTTTCACATCAGTCCTTAGCATAGGATTTGATCCTATGTTTTCAGATTAATGTGTGCAAATTTGGACAAAATCTGATGAGTGGTTTTCCTCAAATCTCAAGGACAATAAAAGCAAAAAAATTACAATCACAACCATGATCACAATCACAATCACGATGACTATATCCCACCGATGGTGTGATAAAAAACATTGTTATTAAACCTTTCTTTTATTCTACTCACTTTGCCTTGTGGATAGATGGTGACCAAGGGAATTGCCGAGTCACTGGACCTTTGTATCTTTACTGATTTATCAAGTAGCACCATATAATGTTGTTCTTTCATAACATTCTTCTCCGGGGGTATGATAAGTTGTGCCCTTTCTTGAGACTCCAATATGACATCTACCCGTCTGTATGTTTTCAATGTATTGGGTTCATTGAGAGTATATAGTTTCAAGAACTACAAAATAAACAAGGCATTAACATGACAAAATGTCACCACCTAGTTGCTCACAATATTATGAGTTCAAACTTAAGTCAGATTTGAATTTCTGAGAACTTGTAAAGTCAAATTTGAACTTCTGAAAAGATGTAGATGATTTTGAAAAAAAAATTTGGTCAATTTGAAAACAGACCTTTTTGACCATTTTGACCTTGAGAAGGTCATTAAAGGTCAAATGTCAAATCTAAAGTCAGATTTGAATTTCTGAGAACATGTAGATGATTTTGAAAAAAAAAATTAGTCAATTTGAAGCAAGTTGAAAAAAGACCTTTTTGACCTTTTTTGACCTTGAGAAGGTCATTGAAGGTCAAATGTCAAATCTAAAGTCAAATCTAAAGTCATATTTGAATTTCTGAGAACATGTAGATGATTTTGAAAAAAAATTTAGTCAATTTGAAGCAAAATGAAAAAATACCTTTTTGACCTTTTTTGACATTGAGAAGGTCATTGAAGGTCAAATGTCAAATCTAAAGTCAGATTTGAATTTCTGAGAACATGTTGATGATTTTGAAAAAAAAATTTAGTCAATTTGAAGCAAGTTGAAAAAAGACCTTTTTGACCTTTTTTGACTTTGAGAAGGTCATTGAAGGTCAAATGTCAAATCTTAAGTCAAATCTAAAGTCAGATTTGAATTTCTGAGAGCACGTAAATGATTTTGAAAAAATTTTTTAGTCAATTTGAAGCAAGTTGAAAACAGACTTTTTGGCCTTTTTTGACCTTGAGAAGGTCATTGAAGGTCAAATGTCAAATCTAAAGTCAGATTTGAATTTCTGAGAACATGTAGATGATTTTGAAAAAAAATTAGTCAATTTGAAGCAAGTTGAAAAAAGACCTTTTTGACCTTTTTTGACCTTGAGAAGGTCATTGAAGGTCAAATGTCAAATCTAAAGTCAAATCTAAAGTCATATTTGAATTTCTGAGAACATGTAGATGATTTTGAAAAAAAATTTAGTCAATTTGAAGCAAGATGAAAAAATACCTTTTTGACCTTTTTTGACATTGAGAAGGTCATTGAAGGTCAAATGTCAAATCTAAAGTCAGATTTGAATTTCTGAGAACATGTAGATGATTTTGAAAAAAAATTTAGTCAATTTGAAGCAAGTTGAAAACAGACCTTTTTGGACCTTGAGAAGGTCATTGAAGGTCAAATGTCAAATCTAAAGTCAGATTTGAATTTCTGAGAACATGTAGATGATTTTGAAAAAAATTTTTAGACAATTTGAAGCAAGTTGAAAAAAGACCTTTTTGACCTTTTTTGACTTTGAGAAGGTCATTGAAGGTCAAATGTCAAATCTTAAGTCAAATCTAAAGTCAGATTTGAATTTCTGAGAACACGTAGATGATTTTGAAAAAAAATGTTTAGTCAATTTGAAGCAAGTTGAAAACAGACCTTTTTGACCTTTTTTGACCTTGAGAAGGTCATTGAAGGTCAAATGTCAAATCTTAAGTCAAATCTTAAGTCAGATTTGAATTTCTGAGAACACGTAGATGATTTTGAAAAAAAAATTTAGTCAGTTTGAAGCAAGTTGAAAACAGACCTTTTTGACCTTTTTTGACCTTGAGAAGGTCATTGAAGGTCAAATGTCAAATCTAAAGTCAGATTTGAAGGTCAAATGTCAAATCTAAAGTCAGATTTGAATTTCTGAGAACATGTAGATGATTTTGAAAAAAAATTTAGTCAATGTGAAGCAAGTTGAAAAAAGACCTTTTTGACCTTGAGAAGGTCATTGAAGGTCAAATGTCAAATCTAAAGTCAGATTTGAACTTCTGAGAACATGTAGATGATTTAGAAAAAAATTGAAGTCAGTCTAAACAGTATTTGTTAAGTTATAGGAAGTTGTAAGAAATTGTTACAGACGCCGGACGCCAACCGCCGGACGCCAACCGCCGTCGCAAAAAAACGGAGACCATAACAATATGTCACCACTTTTGGTGGTGACATAAAAATATAGCAATAAATATTAAAATCAACAAAGCACAGGATGAACAATATCATACCTAAAGCAAGATGGCCACCAATAAGGAATAAAACTTCTTACATACAAAATGTGTAAAAATTGAAGTAATTCCATTAAAGGAACTAAATGTGTACTATCAGCAAAATGAAGTTTTACTTTTGATCTTCATAGTATTTTCAAGGGATTGCTATTTGCTAAGTGCCTGATCTTTCATTTGACACCAAAAACACCTCAAATAGACCACATAAAATTCAGCTCATGAAAATTCTTTCTGTAACAAGAGTTACTGTGGTCCTAGGCATCAGCATATAAAATTTGAACTAAATCCCTCAATTAGTTTTTGAGTTATCAACGATTACATTTTTTTACGAAAAAATGGTAAACATTTTGAATTGAGCAGCCATATTGAAAATTCCTTTTGAAGCAGAGGTCCTATACCCATAAGGCATAAGCCTACAAAATTTGAACCAAATCCATCAACTGGTATTTGAGTTATCGCCCAGACAGACAGACGAATGGACAGACAGATGGCTTTTGTATATCCCCCATGAACTTTGTTCGATGGGATAATGAAAACTTCCAAAATGTCCACCAAATGGACTTAAAATCAAAAATGACTAGCTTAACATTTACCAACAAGAATACCCAAGGAGTTCACACCCAAATGAATTGTAGATGAGATCACATGAGAGGAGGATGTCACACAAGTGCCCTGTGTCACAAGAGAGGAAGGTGTCACACAAGAGATGGTGTTATAGGGGGATGTCACAGGGGTTGGTCACAAAAAAAGGATCTAATAAGAAAAGAGGATATCACACAAGATAGGTGTTTCAAACAAGAGGAAGGTCTTACTGGGGCACTTTTACAAGGGTTACAGACAAAAAGACATGATGTCACAGGGGAGGGGGGTGGTGTTAAACAAGTAAGGGTGTCAAAGGAGGGGAGGGTGTCATAGAGGCAGTGTCAATCAAGAGGGCAGCACTACAAGGAGGAAGCGTGTTACAGGGATTGGTAACAAAAAGAAAATATGTCACAAGAAGGGAGGATATCACAAAAAGGGCAGATATCAAACAAGAGGACAAAGTTGATTACAAAAAAGGTTATCACAAGAGGAGTTAGTGTCACAGAGGGGATGTGAAACAAGTGAACAGTGTTACGGGGCTGTTATATGATTTACCATTTAGAATTCTGCCTTTATCATCCTCTAATATTATATATTGTGTCTACCAATTTTACAGAAATCAGTAGTCTTGGTCAATATGTTATTAATCATAAAGAACCCTTCCAATAAAAGCAATTAAATCCTGGTTTGAAAACTCCCTAAAATAACCCAAACCATATGAATAATGAACTATTCACTTTTACACAAAGCTGCAAACCTGAGTTATGATGGCACAGTGTATGCCAGCGAGTGTTTCTGAATCATTTTGTACAATTGCTTTATTTAACCTTTACCATGGTCATTGAAAATAGAAACTAGAATATTTTCAACTCAAAAATTGATCATCCGATTGCTGCAAATTCAGTTTTGAGATCTGACCAGACGTTGAATCTTCCCAGGGGCGAAGCGGCGGATTCTGGAGGAGTATTCATGGTATATTTATGCCCAGTCGTGGTGTGAAAAAAATTCATGAGAACATTTTTTTCATGAGCCAGGCCAGTGTATTTTCCCTTTGTGAAAATTTTATCCAGATTCATTCAGTATTTATTGAGAAATTAACTATTTAGTCCAGACATATAATTTTTTGCACTCTGAAAAATGACGAGTTGCTCAATAATCATGCAGTTAGCGCATGATCTATATTTTAAAAAACTGTCATTGGTATACATGTAGCATCATCGAGAAGCGATAAATTCGAGATTTTAATTCCTCACTATTGATGCAACAACACCACTCTGTTTCTTATCGATGATGCAACAACACCAATGTGCTGATGCAAAAACGCCAATATAATGTATCATTGAACAACAAGAGAGACTGTTTTATGTTCTGTTTACAGGTGTAGGTCGGGACATGAATAAAACATGTGAGTCAGTGGTCCATCAATGAAACGTATTTTGTTTGATTTCTTTGTCTATATCAAAGTTAAAGGGATATACAAGGCAAACTAAATAAAGTACTGAATCCGCGGGAGGCAATCTCATTGATATTGTATCTGAAATATAAAGATTATACATTTTCTAAATTAAATGCCGTTGATTTACCATATGGAAATTGTTTACAAATAACAAATATAATTTTGGAAAGACAACAGATATCAGTCATTTTGTGTTGTTAGTACGTCAATTGAAATACTCAATTCTGATTGGTTGATGAGCGGTCAACAAAATATAAATGTTAGTACCTCAACTGAAATACTCAATTCTGATTGGTTGATTAGCGGTCAAAATTATGTACTGTTGACCGCTACTAGGTACTGTTGATCGCTACTTCTGAAAAAGTTTCATGACGTCACAAAAAACATGGAAGACGGACTTTTGTAAACGTTGATGAAAATAACTATACTAGGCGACAAGTATAGCAAAAATACAAATAGAAACTTAAAATCACTAACGAGAACGCAGTGATGTGCCAAATACAGAGTTAAGCTACTTGCACTGTCTCCAGATTTTCTAAAAAAATATTGCTAACGTGGTTTGGAGAAAAGGTTGTGAAATGAGGCCATGCCAATTGATGATTGTCATCTATATGTGTATTATTAGTTTACTCGGACTAGCAAAACAATTGTAGACCTCTCCATTCAATCAACCGTCAAAATCATATACCTCGACTGTAAACCTTGAAACTACTGTTGACCTCGACCTTCGGTCTCTGTCAACAGTAGTTTTTCGGTTTACAGTCTCGGTATACAG